GATGTTCTGGCTACCTCTCCATTTAGTGCATATTTTTTTTTTTCAGATGCCAAAAATGGCCTCCAGAATAAAAACCTTCTCAAGGCTCCAGCTTTCACTGAAATTAGTCCATACCAAGGGAAGTGTAACACAACCACATAATGTAAAAGAATACACAAATACATTTGAGGTACAATAGATTCTTAGAAAGAACCAGAAAAATGAACCAACCTTCATTCTTTTTGCACTCAACTGTATATATGTGTGTGACATGAAATTATGATGTTTCCAGCCAGCACCACCCTTTTGATTCTGCCCATTCTACACTTTTTAACCAAATTACTGGATCATTGTCAACTAAAAAATAATAAACAATGGTGCTCCAAGTATAATGGCTGAAGACTTCAAAATTCTCAAAAATTACATCATAGTCAATTTCATCAGGTACTCACATCAGCCTGAAAGCAAGCTGCCCCTTCATTTGATTCACACAAATGCAATGTCATACCATGTAACTAAAGTCTAAGAAATACAGTAATCATGCAGTTTTTGTCTCAAACCAAATATCTTTGGTCCCAAGAAAGAAAAGCTCTTCACATGCTGATTACATCCATCAAGCTTTTGAACCTTCCTCAGACACTGGGCAAAATACACTTTTTAACATTCTTGAGCAAAGGACATGCATGTGTTGCAGAATTTTTTTTAGGTGCTGGTAGTACCCCATGCTGAGTAATGGTACTCATCGCCCAACTAAATTTGGCACAGATACAACCAACAGTGGCAGGAGGTGCAGGAGAAAGAGTCAAGATATCAAGAAGAGGGAGGCCTTTGGAGGTGTCAAATGCCAAAAATTTAGTTGCCAGCCTGTCATCTATTACCAATTTTAGTCCTTAGTAAAGTGGCTGGCATTGGAGATTGAGACTCACCTAGTGTTTAAAAGTCCGGTCTGGTCCGGTTTTTTATGCCCCAGGGCTTTAACCGTAACTGTAACCAGTTGGCATTTTTCCCAGAAGTCAAAAGACCGAACTGGACCACAAAAAGACCGCAGACCGTGGTTTTTTGTGGTCTATAGACCGGTATTGGTCTTCTTTGGTTTTAACTGGTTTAAGACCGGTTTTCTGGCCAATATTTTAAAATTATGAATCGGTAAATTTGTTAATGTTATTCGTAGCTTTAAAAGAGCCCAAGAACGTTAAATTCTGTTGAGAATTGGTGTTTCTATAAAAAAAGTCTTGTACATCTACTATTTGTAACGAAATTTTACATTTTTATTTATATCTTTGTCAAATTTGAACCAATTAATACGTGCTTGGGTGCGTTTTGAAGGGTATTTAGTGGGCTACAAAAAGCCGGTCCTAACCGGTTAAGACCGGTCTTTTTGCGGTCTTTAGTTCTCAAAAATAAAAAAACCAGACTGCAGGTCCGGTCTGGTTATGGTCTTTTTCCAGTCATGACTGTACTTTTCTGACCATGAAGAAATCTCCTTTAATTGATTACAACTGTCCACCTCCTAAGTTCCTACATGGAGTGCAACTAGCTGGTCAATGGGGGGGCAATTGCTTGCCTTTTGACCTGCCAGTGCGCTCCTTATATACTCCAGGAACCCCTATCTATGTTTTACATGTGTTTTTATATGGGATACTTTGGTCCAAATTACAAATATGAAATTTAATGAACGTGTGGTATATTTTGTAGTCTATCTCTGGGAACACTACAGATTTTGTACAGTTGAGTGCAAAAAGAATGAAGGTTGGTTCATTTTTCTGGTTCTTTCTAAGAATCTATTGTACTTCAAATGTATTTGTGTATTCTTTTACATATGCATACATGGAGTTAGCTGATGTAGCTATTCTTAGCTTGGCATGATCTCGTGTGTTTCTTTTCTATGACCCAGTTACTGGTTTGACAGGTGGCATCATATAATGATTGACGTTTCCTGATACATTGATGCACATGCATACACATTACCAATAGCCTTCGGTCTTCCATCGTTTCCGAGTTTTTAATTAAAATGCCTTGTCTTGGCTCGTCTTTTCATCACAGAGGTCAGAAGACACTCTGAGGATGTTTTCAAATGTCTTTCTTAATTGTCAGGGGTTTCTTATTTATTTCATATAATAGAATGTGTCTTTTTCCCATGTTTGTACTTGTAACTTTCAGACGCATCAGTCTTTGATGCGTATATGGGAATTGCTGTACATGACTTTCTGAATGGCCGCAAGCCAGGCTAAGTCTCCGTATGTTTACTACTTATGTGTAGTTTAGTCTTTTGATGTTTTTAGACATGCTGTCTTTCTGTATATCTTGTATAAGCACGAGTTTCCACATTAAATCCTTTATGTGTTTCTAAACCCTTAGTAGTAATGCAATTCTTCTCCCTGCATTGGGTGTTTACTCTAGAGCCTCTTTGTGCCCTATTTCATGGTAGGTGAATCTTAGATAGGATCCAAGTATAATGTCACAACACGTACTGCTGCCAGTTCCAAAGCCTTTGTCCTATTTTCAGATTCCATGCATTTGCACTTTTAGTCAACTGAGCCGGGTATGCGCATTGACTCTTTGTATCATTGCAATTGTATGTAGTGTATTTATTAGAGATGACCTTTATTGGTAAAATTGTTAAAATCGAATTTTATATGGGTGAAATGGTTTCATCTGTATCACCGACGTTAGAACTTTCATAAGATTGGCCAGTCGCACTGTAGATAGAAGGAACATGATGAGTGAGTTGTCTGTCAATCACAAACAGATGCTTACCTTTTGGGGCATCAGGAGGTAACAGTCCCATACGAATTCAATCTCTCTTATCTTGCAATGCCTCCTTCCTCCTCAATTTCCTCATCTTCTTTTGTTCCTGTGAATGGGATATTTGTTGGAATTGGAAGAAACAGTGGCTGGGCAGATCATACCTTCTTAGTCAACATCATAGGCTTCAATGCTATCTTGTTCTTCTCCCCAGGAGCAGGGATGGGAATAGGATGCTGGATGTATATTGTGATAGGAGAATCTGATGTCCTAATATTGAGTTGCTCGAAAACAAACATCTCAATATCATCATAGCTCTTGGTTGGGAGCAATGCTGCATCCAACCACTCAGCGTCAGGTGGTGCAGCATGCTATTTGTTGCTTTATTATTGTACATAAGAGAACAAGGGCAACAAAATACACCTTGATCGTCTTCTCAATACCCATGTTGCCATCCAACCCAGCCTTACGTGCACTCTCAGCAATACACTGCTTCAATGCCTCAAGCTGTGCCTCCTGCCTTTGTTGATTCGCGAAGGCCACATATTGGATTGAAACAGAACAATCGACTACCTCTTTCTCAAGGCATGCCATCGAATCTGGTGGCTCCCTGCCCATCCTTTCCAGCAACACTATATGGATTGGCAGCAGGACTTGGAGTTGCTATTGGAGGCAGGGAAGGTGTTGGTGTGGGCACATTTTGAACATTTGCCTGTCAATAGCTTAGTCAGTTGGCATTGATAGAAAACTGAAGAAAAAAACCTTGATAGAGGCAAACTTGGTGGTATTTCTGAGTTTTCCACTACCCTTCGTGTTGTAATGCTCCCTTATTTGGTTGGCAGTGTGCCTGCACACAGTGTATGTACCAGCACTGTGGGGTGGGCACCAGTTGCTTCCAGCACATTCGCCTCACCTTTTAAACATGAATGAACCACCAGCACTGATGCCATGCAAGTTGGCATGAGTATCAGGCCCACACCTCTGGCAACCAACGAGGTCTTTATTGTCCTCCACTGATTCCTGCCGGAATCCGGCGGAATCCGGGCAATTCCTGGAATTCCGGAGGAATCAAATTTGGCAGAGGGCCCTGCCAAATTGATCAAACCATTCCGGCGGAATTTTGATGGAATTCAAATTCCGCCAGAATGGTTCCAGGAATCACCCGGAAGGAATGATCCCGGAATGAGACGGAACGGAATTCCTGACGCCCAAATCGAGTGTCGGCGTTTGCCGACGCTTGATTTGGGCGTCATCAACAAACAACTCCCACTCTCTCAACCACCACCATCATCCACGACGCCAACCCACCTCGCGACACCGCCACGTCACCAACGGCCACCACGACGCACACAACGACGACGTCCGTCGTCGTTTCACCACGACCCCAACACAACACCACGGCCACGACACGGAAACGACGCCCCAACACCACGTCACCAGCCTCAGTAAACGAGCGCGCCAACACATTGCCACGTCGCTATCAGCGACGTGGTAACCAGACGACGAACGACGCAAGTCGTCGTTCGTCGTTCGTCGTCATAGGTGAGCACCCCCCATCCCAAGCTCGTCCCACCCAGCCTGCTAACACCAGGCACACGACGAGGGACAACCACGTCAACGCACGACCACCACCACCACGCCCACAGACGACGACATGCCTCACCACGTCAACGGAGGGCCACGCCAACAAACGACACGCCCACGACGACACCACCACCACGTCAACGGGCGACGACCACGTCAACGGACGACGACGAGCACGTTAGTGGACGACGAGCGACCACCGCCACGTCAACGGACCACCGCCACGTCAACAGACGACGACGACGAAGCCAACGGACGACGACGCCAACGGCCGACGACGACAACGCCGCCAACAGACGACAACGCCAACGGACGACGTCGACGATGCCAATGGACGGCCACGTCAACGACGACGAGCGTGTCCCGCTCCACCACGTACACACGGCGACGAGTGTTGTCCCTCCCCCTTTTCTTTCCCTCCCCCCTTCCTCCTTTCCTTTTCCCTTCCCCTGTCCCTCCCCATTTCCATGTACCCCTTTCCTTTCTCCTCCCTCTTTCTCTGTCTGTCCCTCCTCATTTCCCTGTCCCTACTCCCTTCCTTTTCCCTATCACCCTTCCCCCTTCCCTTCCCTGTCCTTACACCCTTCCCCCTTCCTTTTCCCTGTCCCTACACCCTTCCCCCTACCTTTTCCCTCCCCCTTCCCTGCCCATCCCTTCCTTCCTCCACCCCCATTTATTTCTGCCCCCCTCCTCCCCCCCTTCCTTTAACTTAGAATACAGTAAAATAATCTTTGTGTACCACTTCAATATATTAGAATTTGAATCTATATAACTGTTCTAAGAAGAAACTTGTGAGGTTATTATAGGACAAGATATAATAATAAATTGGCTGACTACATTAGACTTACAATAAATATGATAGGCATGAAGTCACATAGACTTGGGTTTGGATGAACAACATGCAGAATCTAATGTCTCTGAATCTGATTGAAATAAATAAATCCATGTAGTAGTAAGTAACTAGTCGGATGCCTTATGCCCTTGTTTAGTAAAAGATTTAGTGCTACAATTCTATTTGTCTGACCTAAAGAAGGAGATTCAGGGTCCAAATTTAATTAACCAGAAGTCCTAGTGTTCAATTTCTGTTGATTCCAGTTGGATTCCTGTCGATTCCGGCCGGAATCCTGCGGAATTCCAGGAATCCTACCGGAATTCCAGGAATCCTACCGGAATTCCAGGATTCCGGCCGGAATCTAGGGATTCCAGTAGGAATCAGTGGAGGAATGGAAAGTATTGCAACCAACAATGGACGCGAAGAACCACGACTTTGAATGTAATGATAGAGTGTTATGCAACACTTGTAGCACTACACGAGGGAAGTCACTCTGACTAGGTGCGCTGGAGAGAACCAGAACAGATAGTTGTATTGAGAGAACTTGTAAGTACGAACAATACATAGGAATCTTATATATACTGCCAAGCATATACTAATCAGAACTGAGGGGAATAACAAATAGTATTGTACAGGGAATGAGTCAATGAGTCACAAGGTGGTTGTGATGAATCCTGACATTCGCCCTCCTGAGTTGTGAGGAACGACTCATTTGCCCACTTCTCAAGCGACACTCATGTTGTCGTCTCCTGCAGATGCGGAACCACCACTCAGTCCAGGAGAAGGTGACCTCGGATGACGATCATGTCTCTCGCTATCATAACTATGACCATGGCAGCCAGACTTCTCTTTCTTTCCACAACGTGGCCACTTTCCATCTTTCGAGTAGGCATCAGTGTGACCACCGCGCCTGTGCCTCCAACCTCCATGGTGACGACCACACCTCTCAACAGAGTGTCCATGGTGTGAGTGGTCAACGATGTCCAACAAACAGTTCATCATATTAGCCACATGGATCACAGATGATTGCATTTGCAACCACAGGTTTGTCATGACATGGTCCATTGTATTGGATGTGGCATACAAGCCATTCCCCAGTGATCCAACATACATTGGGGAAGGGGCTGGAGAGACAGCATGAGGAAACTGTTGGTAGGTAGCTATACCACTGTCAAACACAAAGTTATTGACACTTGGGGGCACAGAATCCATATTGATATCTGTATCAACCAGGGCCTGCATGACTTCTGGGGTGATCACACCAGCATTCATGTGTAAGGCGGGTGTCTGCTGTGCCAAAGTTACAGTAGAGATGGTTAGAGCGCTGTTGCTCAGCGAAGGAGTCGAGGCTGGTATAGCAATGTGAGCCATATCAATTTGGGCTGTCGCGAGAGTGGCCATTAAGCTTTCAATGCCAACAGAAGGTGTGGGTGACACAGGATCCTGTCCTGTTGAGGGGGATGGAGAGGGAGCTGCAGTGGTGGACATGTATAGGTGCTTGGTGAACACTGGGCCGCAAGTGGGAAGAGGTAAGTTCTTGTCCAATGTACAGAAATTCACGAGGGTGTTAATAAGCATTTCCTCTCCTTCAGGGACCTTTCCTTTTCCATACTTCAATGCCCTGATTGTATCAACACCCAGGGCCTCGAAATAAGCCTTGAGGGCTTCCAAATGCAAGCATTCGTTATAAGGTACCCAAGTACGGTCACTGGCCTTCCACAAGACTTCAAAAATAGCCGATTTGCCTTTTCCCGAGTGTGAGACGATTCAGTTGACTTCCCACTTGAAGTTTTCCTCGCCAAGATTGAATGCCTGACCAGCAAGTCGACCAGGGAATCTCCTATCGTCGTTAGGGATATGAATCTGGAGTAAAGAAGCATGGAAGACAGGGAAGATCCCTCTTTTCTTCAATTCTTCAGGCAGATACAGCTTGAAACTAACATTTGAAATAGACCTCAATATTTTGTATGGACCAATAAATTTTGGTGCCAGCTTTCGGGCCTGGTTTGTGGGCAGCTTTATGTTCTTAGTTAAAAGGTAAACCAAGTTGCCCACCAGGAATGGGGCTGGGCAACGTCGTTTATTTGCTTGTTTAGTTTGTTTGACTCATGCTGCCAGGATCATGTCATGCACGGCCAAAATCCCATCTTTAATTTGTTGCACAAACACACACACTCCCGGATACTCTGATGTGGCATTCCAGATCAATGGCTGTGGTATGTGCCCAGAGTTTAGAAAAAACGGTGAGAATTTGGTTGTTTCTGAGCACACTGAATTGATGGCAAACTCAATTGCCGGCAATTTAGTAACCCAATCTTTTTGTGTTGATGATATGCAATATCTAAGCATTTGAGTGATTGTGTGATTGGCATGTTCAGTAGCACCATCCGTTTGAGGGTGGTAGCTTGACGACATCTTCAATTTGGTCTTAATAAGCTTATGCAGGCAAGTCCAGAATGTACTTGTGAACAGGGAGTCTCAATCACTTATAATTGACTCAGGTAAACCATGGAGCTTGTAAACATTTTCAAAAATTAGTTCTGCAACATCACGAGCGTGGTACATTTGTTTCAAGGGGACCAAATGTACCATAGCTGTTAATAGATCAATTATAACTGTAATCATATCGAACGTGCCAAGCCGGTTCTTGGATCCTGGCAGGGGTCCAACAAAGTCCATCCCAACTGACTGCCAGGGATAATTTGGTACAGGCAGTGGATGCAACAAACTGTAAGGAGCCTGATTAGGAGGCTTGATAATGTGGCAGACGGAACATGATTGACAGAACACTTTAACATCATCCTGCATAGATTTCCACCAGACATTATCACAGAGATAATACAGTCATCCACCTGCTAATGATACACCCAAAATGAGACATTACCTTCAACAAATTTGAGCACAACCTGTCTCTACAGAAACTACATGAAAATCTCAGATAAATGCCCTTCTATGACCTTACCAAATTTCAGAATGTTTGAACCACATTTCATAGAGAAAAACCAAGATTATAGGTGTATCATTGAGGGGTGTGCCTATTTCCGAAAAACAGTCCATTTTGTATGCTCCATAGCTTTGCCAATTCTGCCTCAATTGCATCCAAATTATGTACAGTGGTAGATATGAGTTTGTACTACCTGTTACAACTTGTTTCGTAAAATTCGGTCTAGCATTGAGCGAGATATTTGCTAGTCAAAAGTGTATCAAATGGGGGTGGTGTATCATTAAGGGGTGGATGACTGTACATAGATTTTTGAGCCCCAAGATGGGCTAACAAAGAATGTGCATGTGACATGATGATTTCTCTAGCTCGACAAATTCCAATCTTGATGTCAGGAACACACAAAATCTGGCGATCACTGTCTTTCAAGAAAATCAATCCATCAGTCAACTCAAAATTCTTAAATGACTTCAGTGACTTCAAAATGTCCTTGAAGAATTTGTCGTCATCATAATGGTTCCTGAGACATTCCAGGAACTGAAATTCAGGATTCCCCTGGGACACAAGATCAGTAAGTCGAGGTGCTCTGGAAGTTTCTATTTCTTCCTTGGGGGTTTGCACCTGTATGAAATTTGGGCAAACCCCAGATTCCTCATCATTCTGACATGTTGCCACAGGAGAAGGCAACACACCCTCCATTCCAGGGACAGGCTTTGTTTGGGAAGGATCTCTCATGTGAAGAATGACCCTTCGTGGCTTCGGTGGTGTATTAGTAAGTATAGCTTTCATTGGTACCAAAGCAGGATCACCAGTATAGACTGGAGCCAAAAACATTGTCAAAGTCCCTAAAGCCTGCTGGCTTGCCTCTGAGTCTAAACAAACATATTCAGAAGGAGCTCTGATTGTACCAGCTGTCTCTACGCTATAAATTCTTGAAAGCGCATCAGCAAGAATGTTGGTTTCACCAGGGATATATGTAATAGTGAAGTTAAAATCACTAAGGGTTTCAAGCCACTGTGCCTGGCGGGGAGACAAGTGCTTTTGTGTCATAATAAATTCTAAAGCTTTATGATCTGTGAAGATTCAGAAAGTGGTACTGTAAATAGTGCTTGGAAGTTAGGTTAATTAACTGGAAAATAACCGAGACCAGACCAGACCTAACTGCAAAAAAACCGGACCACGGTTAGTGGTTAGTCAATTCTGGAAATGAAATAACCGGTTATTTTGCGGTTAACTAACCGTTAAAAAACCGGTTATGACCGGTTACAACCGACCCTATTATACCCCTTCAAAATGCATCTAAAAGCATGAGAAACACTAAAAATCTGACAGAGTTATGGTCAAATCTCTAAATTATTGGCTAAAATAGTAGGCTTTCAAGAATATTATTATAAAATTGTCAATTCTTCACCGAATTTAGCGTTCTTGGGCTTGTTTTAAAGCTACGACGCATGGCAATAATGTTTACTGCAAGGAATATGAGAAATATACGCCGTTTTAATCGATTTTCTATTTTTTCGGTCCTAACCGGTTAGTAACTGCAACTAACTGGTTTTCATCGGTTATCTTCGGTCCAGTTAGGTTATTTTGGGTCTGGGAATGAACCCTAACCGGTCTCGGTCTCGGTTAGAGCCCCTGGGCACCCAATAACCTAACCTAACCAGACTTTCAAACACTAACCATAAAGCAAATTCTGGAAATGTTTCAATGACTCCACAATTGCTAACAACTCTTGTTCATGCACAGGGTAATTTTGTTGTGTTGTGTTGAACTTGCCGCTCCAAAATTCAACAATTTGTTCTGTGCAGATGTCGTCATCTTGACTAACAATCCCACTAGTGCCTGATGTACAAGCATCACAATTTAAATTTATTGTGCCTTCTTTCCAGAATAATGTGATGATGGTCTCTCCAGGATTGAATGATATCCTTCACCTCATCAAAGGCCCTTTGTGCAACTGGTGTCCATCTCCAAGGAGTAGTGGGAGCCTTGAGGCATTCCAAGTATCCCATCAGCACCCTAACTCCAGGGCAATCCCTTGCAAGGTAGCCAACCGAGCCAATAAAACCTGCAAGAAGATCTTTAGAAGTGGGAATCTTCCAGTTTGTAATCTTATCCACCTTCTCGGGATCCATAACAATACCATTCTCGTCAATAATGTGTCCAAGAACTTTTAAGTCTTTTCTTGAAGAATTTCAACTTGTGTTCACTTGGGTACAATTTCTCGTGATGAAGAACATCAATGACTGTTTTAACATGTTCAACATGTTCTTCTGGAGTATCAGAGTACATGATAATGTCGTCCAAATAGACATCTATGAAGATGTCAATGTACAGTGAAAATAAGTGTGTCATAATTGACATACAAGTCGCCACGCCGTTGCAATTGCCTTGAAGTATAATGTGACTACCATAGTCCCATCTGGTGTGTTGAAAGCATTCTTCTCAACATCCTCTGGAATGACACAGAACTGCTCAAACATGTCTTTTCCATCAGCCATGCTGCATTTGGGGTGGCATAAGATGTTCTGTAATATTTGCTCTGGATCTGGAACAGGTGAGGCCATTTTAATTGTGTTTGCATTCCGTTCACGGCAATCGACAGGTGTTCACAACTGGACATGACTGTCCTTCAAGCTGGGCTTACGAACCATTAGCATAGGCATTGCATTGGGCACATTCCTAAACTCCCAACATCCCGAGGTGATGTATGCATCATGTTTCTCTCTCCACAAAGGCCAAAGTGCATTAGGGCACCTAGACGGATGCCAACTGTAAACTTTACTTTGTCCTTAAGTGGAATAGTATGGTTTATTGCTCGCAAAGGAGGTAGAGGGGTATCCATCGTGTCACGACAGATGTCCTTAGTGTATTTCATTAATTCACAACAGTATCAGGCACGATTATCCTCCTGAACATCTGCGGCATTTGAGGAAATTATGGTAATTTCATCACCTTCAAGTGGAAGACTATCAACACTTCCAATCCCAACTTTACAAGAGTTAAACCCAAGTGCAACACAATGCTGGAATAGGAATGGAGTGCCAAGAATTAGATCACAGCCCTCAATGTTCATAACGTCGAAATGACAAGTTTCCTTGATCTCTTGATACTCAATTTCCACATCCATGGCGTAGTTAACCACAGTGTGTGAGCCAGTTACTGCTAACCTCACTTCCTGAGGTTTCTCAAGAATAGATCTATTGAGCTTTAATAAATCAACTATGGGGGATGAAATGAAATCCGCACAAGAGCCAGAGTCCAAAAGTGCATGGACAATAATCCCTTTGACCTTCACAGGAACTGTGGGTGCCGTTGGTGCCTTGCACATAAAGTCCTTGATACGTGCGGCTGTTTGTTCAAGTGGCTCCAATGGGTTCCGCTTCATTTTCTTGCAAGGATGCAGAGCAATGTTTATAGAGTAAGACCAGATGTCTGACTCATAACCAGAGTCGTCACTTTCAAAAAATGTGTCTGAATGGGGAGATTCAGGGTGTGAGGCGCACCCATCCCACCCATCTGTTTCAGTAGATGAAACAGACGTAATGTCGTCTTCTACCAGAATTGGGCTTGACCCAATATTGTCATCATTGGAATCTTGATCTGGCTCATCTGAAGAATTGTTGCAATGACCATCCCAAGTGATAGTTTGCTTGCCAGAACTTGTATTTGTCTCAGATGAGTTCTTGCCATACTCGGATTCTTCTTCATCAGAGTCTTCCAAGATAACAACAAGAGGCTCTCCGGAAGGCCAAACAGGCCTATCCAGACGCATGTAATCAGGCCTTTGAAACCATTCAGTACCTGTAAGCATACAGTTGGCCTGTAGCGCCTTTTCCTGGTGAATATATCACATAAAATCGAAATTCGGATCAAGGAGCTTCTCCTGAGAAATGTAATGGCCATCCAGGGTGTTCCAGTCAGTGATATAGAATGAATTGTTGCCTCCAGGCACCATAGAAAATTGTTCTGGATCATAGGGGCTGTTTTCCTCCACAAAATGGAAGTCATAGATATATGGAATGTTTGCATATAGCATAGACAGCACCCTATCCACTAGAACATCATCGACAGTGGAGTAGTAGTCTCAGAGCTGTTCTTCAGTCCAATCCAAGGCCGCCAAAGTGCATACTCCATCAACATCTGAACTTTGAAGGAGTGTCATCTGAATGCCAGTTATGTGGTTGATTACGACCTGCAATTGTGCTGTTGATTAAATCAGCCAAGTTTTTAAGAGCAGGGTGATGTACCCCCGAAACAGACCTAAATCCCAAAAGTGTGTAGCCTTTGACACTCAGAACACAGGTTGAGCTTCTACCGGGAGCAATGCAGATGGCTGAGTGGTGGTTGTTGACGATGAGAACCCGGGTGATCAAGCCAGGAAGTTGTCGCCAAGGGGGGTAATTCAATAAGACTGATAGAGGATCAAAATATGTAATGATAGAGTGTTATGCAACACTTGTAGCGCTACACAAGGGAAGTCATTCTGACTAGGTGTGCCAGAGAGAACCAGAACAGATAGTCGTATTGAGAGAACTTGTAAGTACGAACAATACATAGGAATCTTATATATACTGCCAAGCATATACTAATCAGAGCTGAGGGGAATAACAAATAGTATCGTACAGGGAATGAGTCAATGAGTCACAAGGTGGTTGTGACTAGAGTTTGACATTGTTCCAATGTCAACAAAAACCTTGCTTGTATTTCATGCAAGATAAGAATAAAAAATCCTATAGTGCTGAGTACTGAGTCCTATGGGCACAAAGGAGGTCTTTACCTTCCCCGGTATAATCCATATGGAATCCATGTGGAATCCATGGAATCCATGAAGAATTCCATATGGAATCCATGGAATCAATGTTGGCTGAGGACACAGCCAGTTTCTGATTCCATGGACATCATGGATTCCATATGGAATGATGCTGGAATGGTCATGGAATGATTAATTCCATATGGACTCCAACACCATTCCATATGGATTCCATCAGATTCCATATGGAATGCAGGCATATCCACATGGATTCCATGGAGCAGTCCATATGGATTCCATGGAATGGAATTAATGACTATTATACCATTAGAATACATTGTCCTTACTATAAGTAAGTAAAATAAATATTTTTACATCTCGAGGAATTGAACTCTCGACCTCGTGAATGTAAGCAGCGCTCAAGCCGACTGAGCCATGAAGGCATTATTATATGAGAAACTAAAGGTATGTATATACCGCTTTTAGGCACGTGCCGCGTCAAACGTGACAGCTGTGGCTGAAGCGTTGCCACGTCGTTCTTTCCTTCCTACCACCACCATCACCATCCACCACCACCGTTTCAAACCACGACCGCCCGCGACATCGACAACGACGACGACGACGCTGACGCTGACGACGCGTGACGAGGGCCCAGCCCAGGTAAGTGGGAACAACCACCCCACGCACTCTCCTTTTTAACACAAACCACAGGTGCCACGTCGCGACGTGGCAACCAGACGGCGAACGACGACATCGGTCGTCGTTCGCCGTCTCTGCTCGGCCACGAGGACTCACCACCACGAACAGCCCACCAACACACCCCACCAACGTCAACGAGCGCCCACCCCCACGAGCGCCCACCGACGAAAACGAGCGCCCACCAACGTCAACGACCTCACACCAACGACGACCAGCGCCCACGAAAACGACCGCCCACGGACGTCCAGCGACTGCAAACGACGTCCCCGCCCACGAAAACGATGTCCACCGCCCATGAACGACGCCCACCGCCAACGATGTCAACCGCCCATGAACAACGGCCACCACCCACGACGTCCCCCGCCCACGGCCCACCAACGACGTCCCCCGCCCACGAAGACGACGTCCGCCGCCCACCGCCCACGAAACAACGTCCGCCGCCTACCGAAAACATCCGCCACCCACCGAAAACGTCCACCGCCCACGAAACAACGTCCCCCGCCCACCGAAAATGTCCGCCGCCCATCCACGAACACAGTGACGAGCCCAGGTGAGCCCCCCCTCCCTCCATCATTATTCCACATCACACCCTCCCCCATTGCTCCCCCTCTAATTGCTGCCCCCCTCTCCACCTTTCCTTCCCCCTCCATAACTCCCCACCTCCATCACTCTCCACCCCTCCCCTCCCTCCTCATTCTCCACAACTCCCTCTGTCCACAACTCCCACTCCCCTCCATCACTTCCCCCTCCCTTGATCACTCTATATCTATACCTCTCCCTCCCCCTCCCTTTAATATTATATGTAGTAAAATAAAATTATGTAGTCTGTTTCAATACACCTTAGTTTTCTTCATTTATTAATGTTTAAGTTGGAACTTTGCAGATTAAGTCTGGACTTGTGATTCTAGGATAATAATTGTGGAATTGGGACTTATTCCATCTGAATTCCATATGGAAAAAGTATGGATTCCATCTAAAAAAGTATGGAGTCCATCAGCTATTCCATGGATTCCATCTGAAAGAAGTATGGAGTCCATCAGCTATTCCATGGAATCCATCTCCAGAAAGTATGGAGTCCATCAGCCATTCCATGGAATCCATCTCCAGAAAGTATGGAGTCCATCAGCCATTCCATGGAATCCATCCCCAGAAAGTATGGAGTCCATCTGCCATTCCATGGAATCCATCTGGAATTCCTGGAATCCACCCCCCTTCCATGCATTCCATATGGATTAAGCCGGGGAGGGTAAAGTACAGGCACAAAGCCCACTATGGCAATGACATAAAAATGAAATGAAATTTCTTCAGAGTAAGTTTGTGATCTTTTATTGGCTGCTCATCGCCAAACCGCTTGGGCGGTTCACTCCTTGTAGCCATTGGAAGTAGTAGTCGAAAACCTGGCACAACGACAAATGCAAAAGGGTTATAGTACAAAAAACTGTACTATATCTCATGGTGGAGCCCTTGAGCACTGCAGGCTAAAACATTAATGGGCATATAGCATTTTTGGTCAGTATTGTTACCAGTAAGTAGTATTGTATAAGTTGCAGAGTTTGAGCAGATTTGTTGAAGACAGTAAATTGAGTAACTTTCTCAGAAATCTCTGAGTCTCCGCAACTGGCAATGGTGAATTTGCTTTGTTAGGTTTGGCAGCAGTCTAGAGCAGTCTCTAATGTTTTGGTGTCAATAAAAGGGATATATGACCTTGGGGGCCAGTACAATAAATTTGTATGGTTAGGTTTAGCAGTAGTCTAGAGTGGTCTCTAACGTTTCAGCGTCAATAAAAGGGATATATGACCTTGGGGGCCAGTACGACAAATTTGTATGGTTAGGTTTGGCACTAGTCTGGAGCAGTCTCTAATGTTTCAGCATCAATAAAAGGGATATATGACCTTGGGGGCCAGCAGGACAGATTACATAATTATGACCATGGTAATAGACCTTGCCAAGCAAGGTAATGAATCCTGACATTGAATGACAGACCCAGGGATTGCCCCTGCCCTTGTCGGACTTTTTTTTTGCTGGTTGCAACCAGCCAGAGTTTCAACCATGATTATGTCGGAGTTTAAACCAGTTGTAATTACTTGCCTTTGTTGACACTTGGTTGCAATCACAATGCAACGATGTTCCAATGGCTTAAACGAAGCACAGTAGATTTCATAAAAATTTGTATTCTATTGAAAAGAGCCCCACATACTATGCATTAATTACAGGAAAAAACCTCCCCTATGTTACAGCACTGGAAGATCTTCTTGTTTTAGTTTGGGTGAGAGATTGGATATATGAGCGGCCTTGGGAGTTTCTAATAGGTTGGGTAGTTGAATGGTTATGTCGCAGTACAAATTTGTAGTCTTTGTGCATGTAGGCCACGAGCCTGAGGTTTTTGGTTCAATCCTTGACTGATGCACTTTTCTTTATAAACATTTCATTGGTCGATCAGTAAATTTATTGATGACTACAGTCGTTTGCATAATGGATTGCACAACGATTTTTTGAAGATATATTTGGTCTTGTTTGAACTGCATCCGAGATGTCACACTTACCCATTTCCGGAACAAGTAAACTGGATGCAGGTCGATGGTTAAGAGCCGGTGGGCGCCATTTGCCCACTGTAAAGCGAGTATAGTGGCTGGATTCGCGCAAGTGTGTTGGCATGGGCAACGGTGGCCATGGGCAAAGGGTAAGTGTGATGAAAAGTCACGCTACCCAACACAACCAAATAAGTTTTCAAAAAATCTGTTGTGCAATCCATTATGCAAACGACTGTATATTAGTATGGGGGGCCCGGTTGAATCCAGCATCAACCCTGGTTCCAACCCGATTTGAACCAAACACCCTTCCATTTCAAGCGGTTGAGACGGCCACCGGCAATTGGAATGGTTGTAACCAGTAGATACCGGTTGTAAGCTAAAATTTAAATAGGAAAGTCCGACACTTTGCCTGCATTTCCATCAGATATCTTGTACGCATTTAAAGCTTCGGGACATTCACAATCCTCGTCGATTCATTCACATCCTTCTCAGGTCCATTTGCCACAGGAACCCATGCGCACCCCTTCAAATATGTCTCAATGCTCCCATGCTGTCCTTCCTTGCGTGACATCTGTCTTTCTGATGCTCCCTTTTTGAAACTCCAGCACTTTGTGCTCGCATTCACATTTAGCTTGGTTCCCACTCCCACTCAAACCATCATCTTCATACTCACTCCGTTCCTCATGTACCTTCATCTCTATTGTCCCCACCAACAACAATGTCCCAAGCAACGACGCTAACCCGCCTCAAAAAACTCAACCTACTGAACTATGCAGCACTGGGGTCAGTCGGGGCAGCTGCTGGCCCTGGTTATTTCGTGTTCGAGTCTAAGTCAGGGGTTTGTTGAGTCTCCACAGGCGACGCCCCCACCCACGGAGTCGAAGCCAACGATAAATGAAGATACAAGCGAGGGCCCGTCACCGTGGGCCTGTCACCATTGACAATGTCGTTCTTTGGTCCTCTGGAAAGCTACGACAACAGGAGTTAGAAACAAGAGATTCTAGCTACACAGATAGTTGAGATTGTGGTTGAGGATGTGGACGTTAGAGGCGAGGGCTACACAACAATACCGTTTCCTTTGAGATCAGGTGTGTCTCTACAGTTCCATCGAGAATGTGGAAACTCACGTCGTTCCTCATAGCTACCATGGCGCTGTCCAAACCTCCGACGCCTTGCACTTGAAATTTCAAATGATTTGCTCATAATCGACACATCCGTCTACGAATGTGTTCTCTACAAAATGGGACACAGAGGGATCATGCCCAATTGATCCTAAAACTGGGAAACCTCGAACAAGGAATGACGCTTACACTTGAGAATCTGCTGTTGTCGTTATGATACCCTTTCTGCGAGCTTCATTGCCACCGCCTTCGTTGCTTGCCATGGGTATGGAGGAGCAAACACAGACGATGTCGACGCCTCTCCAGCTCAAACTCAACAACAGCAACCACAGATCGCACAGCTCCCCATCGTCCTCCCTCCACAACGCTGGTAATGACGCCATGCCTAGTCTGTTTGTGCTGCGAAAGTTGTTGGAGCCTGCTGCGACGAGTGTACTGAGTGTGAGGAAGGGGAGGGTTGGAAGGCCAGTTGCTGGTCAACAACAGCAACAACAGGAAATTGAGGGTGTTGCAAGATGAGAGAGATTGAATCCGTATGGGATTGTTTCCTGCTGATCCCCCCAAATGTACGGTGCTTGGGAAATGCGGAAGAACATAAGCGCCTTTGCCTTTGAAAAAAGAAGACACAGATGGGCGTACCTCGTCAAGGGAAAGCGCATGTCGGAAGGTCTTGATCCCCTGGTTTGCATTGGTAAATGGAAGAGTGCGGCCGGCGAGGACGCTGAGCATCTGTTTGTGATTGACAGACAAGCTAGTCACCACGTTGTTCCATCTATAGTGCGGCCGGCCAATCTCATGAAAGTTCTAACGTCGGATGCCAATGCCCTCCAAGACCCAACCCCAGTCGAGGCTCATGTGAGATGTGAAGTAGCACAGCACAAACTCCGGCATGAAAAAATGAACACTAAACGCAAGTTGACGAAAGAGCAACGTCATGAAAAGCTTGAGGCGAAGAAGGCAGACGAAGAGAAGAAGGGTATCTAAGTATGGTGCAGTGTATAAGTACGTTCTCTTCCTTTCCCTTCATCACAGACGACCGAAGCTTCGTCCTTCCAGGGTCAAGATTCAGAGCGACCCCGCACACCAATTCAAGGTCCAAAAGAATGCGGAATAATAGTTGAACCTCACTGGAGTCTGCATCTTCAATCCTCATTTCAGCATGGTCTACGTGGAAGGCGCAGCCAAAGTTATGCAGAACTACAGGCGGCTCATGATGACACGCATTGCTTGGTCCGAGGCTGCACGTCCCCAGGGCAGGGAGGATGTGGAATTGGAGAACCCCCATTCAGATGTCGAGGGGGAGGCTGGTGCAAGCACCTCTGCTGTTGCTGCAAAAGGAACGGCTACTGACGATACGCGGTCTTTGGAGGATAACTAGTGCTATCTTGTTTGGGAAGGTATGCTGAGAGATCAGACGTACAACAATTTCCTGGCGAAGAGTTGCTTCACAGATAGGGATGCGAAGGAATTGTTGGGTGAGCAGTTGAAAGGGTATTTGGATATGGCTAAGAATTGGAAGGCTGAAGAAAGAGGTGTTGTTTCACACAAATGCACCATGTAACTATGAAATACAACGATCTCTCAAAACTGAGTATTTAAGAGCTCCATTAAGTTTTCAAACCATCCTACATTTCTTATTGTTCTTCAGCAAGGGCTGTGCACGTGTTGCCAACATTTTTTTTGGTGCTGGTAGAACCCCGATGTTGGTCATTGCCTTATTAAATTTGGCACGGACACGGCCAAAGGTGGCAGGAGGTGAGGGAGAGAGCATGGTGATATCAAGAAGGGGGAGCCCTTCAGAGGTGTCAAACCGTGCAACTTTTCTTGCTGTATCATTGTCTAGTCCCAACCTTAGTACTGAGTGGCTGGCATTAGAAATTGAGACTCACCGATGATGTAGAATGAGCCCTCTTTCTCAATTCCAATCTCCACCAGATTCATTGGTTCCAACACAAACTCTGTGAGGGTAATTCCTCTGAAGAACACCTGTTCAAGGAAATTACCAACTTCTCTCTCAATACCGCCCAAGTACAGACTGTCACACACACCCCTTCCATACCAAACCAATGCACTGTGGCCCAGTTCGTGCAGAAAGACAGCGATGAACATTAGACCAAGCCGTGATGGTGAAGCTGCAATGGGGCTGTGTGCCTATGATATAGATTTGATGAGAAATACACATTATCCATCCATAGTACTCACGATCTGGAGCCATAGCTGGACAAGCCTACAGTTTATCGTTACTTTCTGATTGTCAGCCTCTTCTCGCCCACTCCACGTCTCACCTTCTGGACCGAAATCTCCAGGTGCCAAGTATAAAGCGGGAAAGGAGTTTGTGAGGAAGTCGACGACATCGGCATCAGTAGGAGGATGATCTCTGATTTGTCGGATTTTAGTCAGATTCAACATGTCCTGAGGCTCAGGATCGTCGTTGTAGCATGTTGTATAGATGTGGAGGAAAGGTGCGTGGAATATTTCATCTTTAAGCAGGCGATCCCAAATGTCATTTACGGTGTGCGTGACCAGTTCATATGAAGGGTTATGAGTTACTTCAAATGTACCAACTTCGTCACTGGTGCCAAAGAAGAGGGTGAACGGTTTCATGACTGCAGAGTTGAAAGGAGCAACGCGTGATCGTCATGTCACCGAAGTAACACTGGTCACGTTAAAAACACCTGACCTGCAGCACTCTAAGGTAGACGACAACCATACACAACCAACCCTCTGTGACGTGACATAATGCTCCTTTTTTGGCAAACAGAAATGAGAAAAGTCGAAGAAAAGGCCATAACAATTCTGTGCATAAAGTTAGGGAAAATTGACGACCATAGAACTATTAGGATTAGTGCTCTAAAGATATATACAAATTTATAAAGTAGGAGAATGAAAATTGGGGGAGGAGATACAAAAATACTATGGTAGGTTCCTGAAGCTCAGATTGACCGTCAAAAGCCTTCGTCGCATCGAAGTTTCGATCCAAAATTGACTATAATGAATTCCTAAAGGTTTCATATCTTGCAGGGGTTGTTGTTCTCTGATATTTGTTAGTTAAGACACGTCCTTGAGTAATTGGACACCCAGAAATAGAATCCCCTCATTCTCCTTTGCAGTTTTAGCTTTTTGTTGTTTTATCACCTCTATGTAAGTTCTATGCTCTGGACTGGAGGTAATTGCTTCGCTTAGGCATGGTTCTGGCCTAATGAAGAGGATTTGCGCGTGTGCCTTCAAATTGACGCGTCGTGAAGTATTTTTGTTTCTTTTCCCTCAAATTTCGTTTTACTGCTTTAATTTTTTTTGTGCTCCATGAAATCTGCATTCGGCTCAGTTCTATGGTTTCCGATTAGCTGCGATTCGTGTTCAAAATATTCTAGGACATTATCTGTGTAATGGAGGCTTAAAATGGAAATGTCACACTGTGCTAGGGACTGTCATGGATACATCCAGGTATTATCCATACCCGATCTGTGGATTTTCCCACCCACGGATTGGATAAGCCACGGTACAGATATATCCGTGGGTATAGCGGCGCAGACCAGCCCTCCATCTATCTTCGTCAGTTCTTCGCTGTTTTCCATGAAAAAATATGCGTTAGAAAGCTGTCATTTAGGATAATTTTGTTATAACAAAATTCACTGTAATATCTTACGTGAACTTCAGTAGAAGCTCATTCTTTAATAATGGTGGAGAATGAAAGGATCAAGCCTCAGTTCATAAAAATATCACTGGCATCTTCATAAAAAGCAAACATCATAATTTGGATATGAAGTCTTCAAAATTTGAAAAAGTCAACTATAAAAGTTCTAAATTGTATTTTATAGCTGTTATTAGTGAAATTCATACTTTGTCAAACTTCTCCCATCCTCAAATTCTGTGAAAACACCCCAAATTCTTTGGAAGCAAGCATTTTTAAATTTATTTTCACTATTAATCCAATTTCACTCCTTTTTATCACTCATTATGCATACTATTAAGGATTGGATGCCAGATAAGCATCAAATACCAGTCAAGATACTTACCCCAGTGTCATACATGGCTTGGAAGGTTCAATAAGTATAAGTAATTTATATCTTTGTTTTTGAAATATCACTTCAGGATTTTTTGGTGCAAACTGAGTCACAGATGTGTATGGTATATCTCTATCACTGATCTGCCATATACACATTGTCTTTCTGGGCTGTTTCTGGCCTCTTAAATATTTATTCATAACCAAATTGATCTCTGTATAGCATTGAAGTTAAAGGTGTAACATAGTCCACTCCATGAATGCTTGAATAGTGTGGAATGATAAAATCAGAGTTAAATTTAAAAGAATGACTGAAGAAATAATTGTATTTCAATAAATTTATGTTCAAATTCATCAAAGAGTGTTTTTATCTTAGGAAGGAGTGAAATTGATGAATTCCAGAGGCCGACAAAGGACAGTCATACATTGGTGTGTGGCAGCAGTAGCTCCCACTAAGACTGCCCAAATATTATTAAATATAGTATACGGATCACAGATATCCACGGATTTCCATATATATCCATGGGTCTGATCCGTGGATAATGGGTATCAACGGCCACGGATAATACCCGTTTATTGCTGATCCATGACAGTCCCTATGCTGTGCACGTGACGTTGGAAGGATATGGTTGTCGTCTACCTTACCAATAACGACATAGGGTGGCAAGCCACAAGGCCCGCTACTTCGATAGAAAATGATTTTTCACTCATTGGTACAAGTAACAAAGTCCCCTTCAAATACCTAAATAGGATCCACTTATGTCTATGTTACACTTAAGTGTCATCCACTTCTGCCATTATTTGGTCCTCGTCGGCAAGAGAGTCTGTTTCGGCCGTTTTGGACGTGGAATTTGAAGAAGCGGTTGAATTAGCCTTCTCTTTGCCTTCGGTGGACAGACGCTGAACAGGGTTTTTTCCAGCTGCAGCTTTCTTAGTTTGTTTCAGGCCTTCGTTCAATTTAGCAGGTGTTTTGCTCAAGTTAACCGATGGTTTTAGGGGGGACCCTGGTTTTCTTTGTCTGTGTCTGGTTCATGTTGGGGGGATGCAAGTCGAGCTTTTTTGACCTTGAACGTGGTGAGTGCTCGATCTGCTGCGGTTTCGACGGGTGTCACAGCGGTAACGGCTACAGCTTCTTCATTTGTGTAGGGCTTATAGTGAGGTTCAGCTTCCACATCAGACTCATTGACTATGAGGATGCGATGCGCATTTAGCTGGTAAACCTATCTTACACTTTGTTAAATGTCGTCATCATTGTAACAATCACATACCCTTCTTTCCTGACCTGTAAAGTTGCCTTGGTTGTCTTTGATCGGCATAATAAACATGTGTATCGATATCGTGATGATGACCAAAGTGCCTTCTTCTAGTGCGTCGTATTCTTCCCATGGGGGAATGATGTGCCTATCAAGGGTAGAAATATCATGCTGGACCAACTGGCTGTGGACATGTCGAAACAGCGGACAGCCATAGTCGATGAGAATGTTCAAGTCGTACGTACTATTGCCCACTTTGATTTCCTTATGATCACCGGAATTTGGCCCCATAGCGTGATCAGTGTCTTCCCCGACAGGAGCAAGGTCTGTCAGGGAAGTGACATCTCATGAACACTTCATTAAACGTTTAAGTGTGGGGATGCGTTCTGGAGCAACGTGAGGCACCTGGGTTCCAGGTGAATTGTTGATAAGATAGAACTCAAGACTATGCACGATGTATTTTGGGAGCGATGTGACCGCGAACAAATAATCGGTGTTCAAGTGAATTACGGCTTCTTAGTTAGTGTACATCTGGCATTTAGATTCAGCATGCAATCAGGATCGGAAGTAGCAAAAGGTACGTACTTTGTGCACAGCCTCATCATCGACTCTATCAGCCTCCATGATCTCATTGATCGCAACGAATTGGTTGTTGTACCGGTCTCGGAGTTCAACCGAGCACAGCATGGGGATTCCGGTCATGAACAGATTCTTGACTTTGGTGTCATCAGTAATATAGTTCGGCTGTTGACAATTTTAGTCAGATTTGTAGACAATGATATTCAACTGCTTACAGTTCCTCGACCAATAAAATGCGAGCCGCAAGCGCTGTGTTTAGTCCCAACTGCGGCGCGTTGAATTTCTCCAAAAATGCAAGCCTTAAACTCGTTTCTGGCGCCGTTTGGAAATCAAATCCATCCTTCCAGGGAGTCTTGCGCATGAAATCAGTCTTGTAGTCAACACGACGTAGAGACGATACGTGACCTTTCGTTCGACGACCACAAAGAGGTTATGTAGAAAACGTGAGAGGCCAGAAAACATGTCTTTCTAACACTGTAACAGGAAGAAAACGTGACCTTTCCATAGGCTTTCACGTGAGCATACAGCCGTCACAAAGAATGACGTCGTTGCAATGGGAAATGAAAGGATGAAGACCCGTCAACAACGACAGCACCTTGACAGCACGTTTGAAGGAAGCGGTGGTCCAGAATGCCCCCTGTGTGCCCAGTTAGGTTGACATAAGCAACGTCAATTTTTTTCTAAGGCAAACAGCAACATTTTTACAAGGTTTTTCTTGCTACACTTATTCGTTTTCCGTGACATATTGGGGACAACAACTACTGCATAAATTATATGGTATACAGTGCTTTGCATTGCCGTCTGCACAAGGGAGTTTCGAAAACTCTATTTGGTTTTGTATTTTCGTCACAGATTGTCACGTATCAGAACCAGATCTGAGCACACAATTTGCACACAACCAACTCCCATGGCGCCATAAGGATCAGATGCGATGCGCACACGGATTACCATTTGGCATGGTGGGCGTCATCTCTCAGCACAAGAGATATTAGGCCTTGTTGGATGAAGTGGTCTGTTTCTCCCCACTTTGTGGCAGTCACGGTACAACACATACAAACAGGTTTTCCAAATTCCGTTGTGCAGACAGCAGTGCAAAGCACTGTAAGATATCTACATATATCTACAACACACAAGGGTTGGTGTTTGTGCACACCCCAAACATACCCCAGGGAAACTCATTGCATCCGCCGCGCGAGCTTGAGCTCATCAGCATGCCGTGCCATGGTCCACATCAACACAAACAAAAATAAGTAGAAAGGGTGGTATCAGATTTAAAACAAGGGGAGGGGAGGGGGGCATACAGAATCACATACACGGTTCTACCTAACACCCCTATCGCCTGCACTCTACCCATTGGCCAATAAAGGCACGGCACGATGCGATGTGTCGATCGCGTTTGGGCATGTTGCCGTGTGTCGGGTCTCCCGTGTCTGGGCATTTTCGCGCGATGTGTCGGTCGCGTATCGTCGTTTGGTTGGTTACATGTCGCGTCGCATTTGGGTGTGTTGCCGTTGCGTCTCTTGTGTCACGTCTCTCGTGTCTATGCGTCGGTCGCGTACAGTCGATGTCAGTCGTTTGGTTGGTTGCATGTCGCGTCGCGTCGCGTTTGGGCACGTTGCCGTCGCGTCTCTTGTGTCGCTCTCTGGTGTCTGTGCATTTTCGCGTCCATACGCGGCAAGCACGTCGTGTGAATGCCGCGTCAACGAGGCCGAGGGGAATATCGACGAGGGAGGCTGGGCGGGAATGGGGGTCAGGACCAAAAAGATTTCAAAAGCTGTTTGGCAACTGTTGCAATGCTTTGGCTTATTTGGACATCATCACGTCAATCACGGTGACGGCTGACGTGACACTGACAGGGAAGTTCCGGAAGGTCTGACTCTAAGCCGAAGGCTTCTGAGACTACGTCATTCTTTGTGACGGCTGTATTATCCTTTCACGTCGAGTGGATGAAAACGTGATGGGAAAATTTGGCACGTGATTTTTTGGCCAATCGACGCTGCTACAGAAGACCCACTACTGACGTAGCGGGAACTTTCTGCTCATTCATTCAAAGTAAAGCTGCTGCGATATTGTTTCTATTATGCAGAGGTCAAGAGCAGCTATTAGATATGTGCCAACTCAATATCAAGTTCAATCCCAAAAGAAATTACAAGATGGGAGTTTTATAACTGGGTTAATGGACGTTCTCTTGAGAGTGCCACCGTGACTAATCAAAACAGCTCCTCTTCTTCAGCCTTCCAATTCTTAGCCATATCCCAATACCCCTTCAACCTGTCACCCAACAACTCCTTCGCATCCCTATCTGTGGGGCAACTCTTCGCCTTGAAATTGTTGTACGCCCGATCCCTCAGCATACCTTCCCAAACGAGATAGCACTTGTTATCCTCCAAAGACCGCACGCCGTCAGTAGCCGTTCCTTTCGCAGCAACAGCGGAGGTGCTTGCACCAGCCTCCCCCTCGACATCTGAATCGGGGTTCTCCAACTCCACGTCCTCCCCGCCCCGGGGACGTGCGGCCTCGGACCAGGCAATGCGCGTCATCATGAGCCGCCTGTAGTTCCGCATGAATTTGGCTGCGCCTTCCACGTAGACCATGCTGAAATGAGGGTTGAAGATGCAGACCCCAGTGAGGTTCAGCTGTTCCGCGTTCTTCCGGACCTTGAACTGGTGTGCGGGGTCGCTCAGAATCTTGACCCTGGAAGGACAAAGCTTCAGTTATCTGTGATGAAGGGGGAGAAGAAGAGAACGTACTTGTACACCGCACCATAAATGCCCTTCTTTTCTTCGTCTGCCTTCTTCGCCTCAACCTTTTCGCGACGTTGCTCGTCAGTCAACTTGCGTTCAGCGTTCATTTTTTCATGTCCGTGCTTGCGCTGTGCTACTTCACGTCTCACGCGAGCCTCGACTCGGGTCGGGTCTTGGACGGCATCCGACGTTAGAACTTTCATAAGATTGGCTAGCCGCACTGTAGATGGAGGGGACGTGGTGAGTAGGTTGTCTGTCAATGACAAACAGGAGCTTACCTTTGGGGGCATCAGGAGGCAACAGTCCCATTCGAATCCGATCTCTCTTATCTTGCAACACCTCCTTCCTCCTCAATTTCCTCATCTTCTTTTGCTCCTGTGAACGGGATATCTATTAGAATCGGAAGAAACAGTGGTTGGGCAAATCGTACCTTCTTAGTCAACATCATAGGCTTGAACGCTATTTTGTTCTTCTCCCCAGGAGCAGGGATGGGAATAGGATGCTGGATGTATATTGTGATAGGAGAATCCGACGTCCTAATATTGAGTTGTTCGAAACCAAACATCTCAATATCATCATAGCTCTTGGTTGGGAGCAACGCTGCATCCCACCACTCAGCGTCAGGTGGTGCAGCACGCTATTGGTTGCTTTATTATCGTATGTAAGATAGCAAGGGGGAACAAACACACCTTGATCGTCTTCTCGATACCCATGTCGCCATCCAATCCAGCCTTACGTGCGCTCTCGGCAATACGCTGCTTCAATGCCTCAAGCTGCGCCTCCTGCCTTTGTTGATTCGCCAAGGCCACATACTTTCCCTTCGGATTGAAACGGAACGATCGACTACCTCTTTCTCGAGGTGCGCCGTCGAATCCAGTGGCTCCTTGCCCGTCCTTTCCGGCGACGCTATATGGATTGGCAGAAGGACTCGGAGTTGCTATTGGAGGCGGGGGAGGCGTTGGTGTGGGCACATTTCGAACATTTGCCTGCGAATAGCTTAGTCGGTCGGCAGTGATGAAAAACTGAACAAACAAACCTTGATAGAGGCAAACTTGGGCTGCATCGGTTTGTATCTGTCCTTTTTTGACTGGGGTACGGTTGGGGTGTGGTCAAGCAATAGCGGATGAGCCGCCATTTTTAAGCCAGCTCCCTGTTGGGTCTGTTCGACTGGAGTACCTTTCTTCTTCCCAGTCTGAGGCATCGACTGCAAGACTCATTGTCAACACAGAATTATGTATATAAGTAAGAGACACACCATATACGGGTTATCTTTAATAGCAAGCTTGCTTTGTGCTTCAGCAACACGGCGCTTGGCCTCTGCCACACGCCGCGCAAGGTCATCTGGTGTTCCAGAACCGGATGCAGGAGTCGCTGGCGTCGGACCGCTTGATACAGTCGGAGACGGAGTGACGTTGAACACCACTTTCGATGGGAGTGACGCTGGAAGAATGGGGACTTTGGGTGTGGGTGCAGCAATTCCTGTGGTCGCCCTGGTCGCGGGAGCTGCAGCGACGAGAGGTACGAGAGGTTTTTTCATGGCAGCAAGCTTAGCCGCAATTTCAGCTCGCTTTTGAGCGATAAGGTCTGTGCCAGTCAACTTGAATGGATCGCACATGAGCTGGTGAGACGCCAGTGAGGCAAGGGAATGTACTCACACCGGAAGAAGATCCTCCTGCTCCATTACTGGTGATATTCTGGTAGGAAAGAAGGTTATAGAAACATATCAGAGGTGGTTTGACAAGGAGGGAATTCACCTTTCAAAACGGGTGTAGGGTGCAGAAAATTGTACTCACATCACTGTTAAAAGCAAAAGTACAAGTTAGCTTCATTCTTTCGTAAAAAAAAAAAGTGAATCCAAAGTTAGAGCGGAACTGACCTTTTGAGCTTCTTGTTGCTGGTAGCTTCAGTTCCTTCAAACGCCCGTTTTCTGTCGCTCATTATAGAAACGTTCAGTAAGGTCTTCTCTTGGATGGAGACTAAGTCAAAGGTGGAGATATAATCTTCCTCGAAGCTGTGCGAATAAGGAGCTCGTCGTCGTGAAGGGTGATGGTGAAGGGCAAGCCCCAGACGAGCGCGCGTAACGGTGACTTGGCTGTGACAAAAATGTATTACATAATCGACAATGTTTTCCCTCTCCTCACTGTCGCGGCGGGTATTCGCTGGAGCCAGTGCCCAGCGTGTCCAGACTGGACTGCAGCAAACTGCTCTTTCACCATTGAGCCTTTTCATCCGGCAGCGCAGTCAGCTCGCTCCCAAGTCGGTTCAGCACATTAAACGACACAAGGGCCGTATACCTATTCCCATCGGGGGTTCAACGAAGGGTACAACGTTGGCTTATGGCGAGTGGGGAATCAGGATAAAGGGGAACGGGGCTCGTCTTAGCGCTAAACAGCTTACAACCGCGCAGGAGGTCATCATGAAAAAGTTGAGGGTGATGAAGGGGGCCAAAGTCTACCTGAGGGTGTTCCCGGACATTCCGGTTTGCATCAAGGTAAGTCGACATGGAATAAGCTGGAGGACAATGGGCTCTAATGAATTTATAGGGTAACGAGACGCGTATGGGAAAAGGAAAGGGAACTTTTGAATTTTGGGCGACTCGGTTGGTGTAATATCTTCATTTCACTGTAGCTTGCTCACTTGTGCACCACAGCGTACCCACGGGACGCGTTATATTCGAGATAGGAGGGATTCCTATTCGCGAAGAACTTGCTAGGGAGAGTGCGTATCTATGTCTACCACCGCTTGCTCTCAAATGAACTCACCTTGGCCGCAGTTCTGCGGCTAGCATCGTCCAAGCTCCCAACGAAAATGGAGTTCATCAATCGTTCTAGTCCACCACGACTAGGCAATCTCCTTCTTCATCCTCCGAAATCTCCAGACTTGGGCCCTTCTATTATTCCGGTGCAAGCTGCAGGGAATGCGGCACAGCCAAGCGCCACTCAATAGGCCCTGTACTTGTCTAATTTTATCAACTATCCCTTCACCTTGCTCGTCATAATTGGAACACGTTCGCAGCTATATTCACGCATTTCCAGACTAAGAATCAGAGAACAGTCAGGAACACTCTTCGGTAGCTTTTTCCATTGGGCGTCATAACAAAGTAGAATCTCACAAGAACACATCTGAGCGAACTCATGGCAGGAATTGATCTATTTTGGGCTTGACAAATACCTGGTGACCACTACTGATGTGCTCTTGATTCCTTTATCCTTATCAGCCACATCATCGCGCGTCATTACCTCCATGACCGTGGATGTCCACTTAATCCACATATATAAGACGGCCTGAACGTCCGACCGACTATTGACCTTCTTTCAGCATGTCTCTTTCTCGACACAGTGTGTTATGATTCCTTGCAGTTTCTCGTCAAATACTCACCTAGACCGGTAGTCAACGCCGAAGAGGTTATCGAAGCTTGCAAAGAGCATCCTCACAAGAAACACTCCATCCGCGCAAGCGGATCCGGAACGGGATACCACCAAACCTGGCGCCGCGATGAAGACGCCCAACTCGCGCCCAAATATACCTTGCCCAAAGTCGGTATACCATCGAAAGCCGCTTACCAATTACTGCATGACCAGACTGCTCTCGACGGCAACCCTCTACTGAATCTCGCATCGTAAATTCTCGATCTCAAGTCATGGAACTACGTAATCAACCTTTGTCCTTAGATTCGTGCACACATGGATGCCAGAAGAAGCCGACAAGTTGATCATGGAGAACATCAACAAAAATATCGTCGATTTGGATGAATACCCAGCAGCTTCAATTATCCATAATCGCGCCATCTCGATGTGTGCGTACCTATATCGCCTGACAAATGTACTCATCTGATTATCTTTCCAGTGGCCGACTTATGGAAGGCGCCCAAGGAAGGCAAGGTTATCGGAACTGCTACAGCGGGATCCTCGGAAGCTATCATGCTTGGAGGACTTGCCATGAAAAAGCGTTGGCAAGAAGCCCGCAAGGCGGCTGGGAAGGATTACTTCCACCCTAACATCGTTTTTGGTTCCAACGCCCAGGTCGCTTTGGAGAAGTTCGCCCGGTAAGTTTCGTCAATATACACACCAAGTGCCCCATCGACGCAAACTCCTTCTCTTTTAGATATTTTGACGTGGAGACACGCCTTGTCCCTGTCAAAGCCTCCAACGGATTTATCATGGACCCCAACGACGCCTTGCAGTTCATTGACGAAAACACAATTGGTGTCATTGTCATTCTCGGTAGCACCTACACAGGCCACTTTGAAAATGTAGCGCTCATGAGTAAACTGCGTAAGCCTTTTTCTTCCCTCATTTGCCACCCTCATCATATCCCATCCAAAGTCGACGATTTACAGGAACGCACCGGCCTTGACATTCCCATTCACGTGGACGGCGCGTCTGGGGCTTTCATTGCACCATTTGCATACCCGAAGCTGAAATGGAGCTTTGACGTTCCTCGCGTGGTGTCAATCAATACTTCAGGACATAAATTTGGTTTGGTCTATGCTGGATTGGGTTGGGTCTTGTGGAGGGACGAAAAATACCTCCATAAAGACTTGGTGTTCGAACTTCGTAAGTTACGCTGTCCAATTAACCGAGAGTTTTATGAATGACGCCCTCCGGCTTGTAGATTATCTTGGAAGCACAGAATATTCGTTCACGCTGTACGCCTCATTTCCTTTTTTTTCCTCTTTGGATTTCAACTTATCCGCATTTTCTAGCAACTTTTCTAAACCTGCAGCCCCAGTGATTGCGCAAATGTTCAATTTTCTCAATCTGGGCTTTGAAGGTTATCGTAAGATTGCAATTAAGGACCTTCGCAATGCGCGGTTGCTTTCTCGGGCTTTGGAAAATACTTACTTCGAGGTTTTGAGCGATATTCATCGTCCCGTTAAGGGAGATGCACACGCTAAACATGACGTTGACGATCCTGAGCATTATCTTCCTGGGTTACCTGTGGTGTCGTTCAGGTAAAGAAACGCTGGGTGTTACTTTCCAATATGCTAAATGCATTCCAGGTTGTCGGATAAATTTAAACAGGAGTACCCTCATGTCCAGCAGGGCTGGGTCCAGGTATGTATGAATTGTCGTCAACATTTTAATTGAATTCTAATTCATTGAAAAAGTCTTTGTTGAGGACTAAAGGGTGGATTGTCCCTAACTATAACGTAGGTACCGCCCATGGGTAAAATTATTTTCTTACACACTTCTAGGCACCGCTGGGCGCGGCGGAGGTTGAAATTTTACGCGTTGTCGGTGGGTCTCTGAGCCTTCACCTTTTATACGCTTGCTCTCATACGTTTTTCCAGTTCGTGAGACACTGAGCCAGGACCTCGTTGAGAGACTCATTGTCGACATTTTGGAGATTACCGAAAAACTCTTGGGTAAGACGAGATTCTTATCTATCGAATAATACAATTCATTTTTTTTATCATATAGTTCCAAACAACGTCTTGGCGGCAATCACTACTACCTCGACCCAAGTTTTGCACCAACCCGACAAGTCCCACGGTAGGCCTGATAAGGACAACTTTGGTGATGCGGAAATCGAAGGCGGCAAGACACAGGAAGGGTTCTCTAGACAGTGTTAGGAAAATGTACGTTTTAGCGGGGTTGAAGCAGATGAGATGCAATGAACAATTTGTGAAAATTTTGGTGGCGAGAACGCTATGCATTGTAATAAGGATAACCTGGAATGCAGCCGGGCGTCAGATAATCTTTTCTTTCCAGCCCGTTAAATGTCTGGATGTTGGGGAACGCCGTCGCCAGGGCTGTCCTGCATTTCATATTGATATGGAGGTTGTAGCCTAGAGTTGCACTGGTGAAAAGACTGTGGACAGCCCACTCTGGAACGGGAACTTTGTTCATCTCCTTACAAAACTACCGAAGAAAAAATAGTATAAGATTGCATTGGGTGGCACAACTCAAGAGATAAATTCAAATTCACCTCTTCTGCAACAAGTTCACCGCGCAGGTAAATCTCCGACATTCCTTGTGGAAGGAGATAGTGGTATTTAACAGTAAGATCTTGAAGATCCGGTAATGTGGTTGATAGAAACCGAAGGAGGTCGGGGTTGAGATAGTTTGTGAAGATATGCAACTTTCGGAGATTTGATCCCACCGCAAATTTTCCGTTGAACAAATCGTTGTCGGCAAACGAACGACATCGTGCCGTGAACCGTAAGGTAGCCAATTCGGCATTCCGCAGAACGTAGTCCACCGCAGCGGCGGTTTCAAAATAATGAACGGAGCAAGAGGCATCCAGGGATAGGCTACGTAGTCCCGGTAATTCCACATGAAAACAAGGGAATTGATACCAGTAACCTGCTGGGATTTTGAGGTAGGGAGAGCCCTGCTCCAGCCATATTTCCAAGTTCTTGAGTTGGCGTGAATGCGATGACAGAAAATCATGGAGCGCCGAACAATCCGTTGTCTTGTCAATAGAAATTGAGAAACTGTCTAGAGATGGCAAATGACTGAGATATCTCAAGGAAAGATCCAGGGAGTGCTCGGAATACAAGGAGCGGAGGGTGAGAGCCTGCAGGGTATTAGAATGGTTGTTGATGAGAGTGGTCAGTCCTGTTACATCTCCTTCAGGGAGGTCATTTGCGAGGGGTGGGCGAGGTAAACAAACTTCCAGTGAAAGTTTTTGTAAAGCTCGAAGTTTGAGAGTGGTGTGGTAACCACTAACAATGTCATGGATAACCAGCAAAGGCATCTTCAATTTGAGAACTTGTAAGTTTTGGCCGAAAGAACCCCAACCTGCTGAAAGGAATCCAACGAGTGGGACGTATCCAGCTGAACCGCTGAACTCGAAATGGTTGCACTCAACCTCCAGTTGTGTGAGGGAGACAAGATTAGATAAAATCTTGCGATCAAATTGAGTTTGGGCACCAGGTTGAACACGAATTCCTGTAAAGGAAGGCCCCTGTCGCCTAAGATTCATCTGCTTGGGTTGCATAGGGTTCACCTTTTGAAGCACATCGAAGAAGACTCTTTTCCATTTGCTTCGGCCATGGATGTCAAGGTTAAGAAAATCTCCAACAATTGTGGGACATAGGTGGATCACTCGAATATACTTGGCGAGTCTTTCATCCCTGTCGAAGGCTCCGTTAAGTTATAACGAAGGAAAACTCGAGGAAAGGAAAATACTTTAGGTGACGTTCAAGGTCACGAAACCTTCGTTTATCAAGAGGCTTGTTCATATCAACGAAACGGTAGCGTTGTTGGAAGGCTGCTTCAAGAAATGGGCGATTGACACTGTACAATCTTTGTACCTCTTCGGTGAGTAAGAGTTCGATGATTTGCCACCATATTTCGTCTGGGAGATCTGGGGTGTCGATGTGTGTTTTCCGGGTCATCAAGCATGATTTCATGGATTTCCACATGACAGGTGCCATCAAATTTTCAGTTGGTGGCAATTGAATTTCTCATCAACCTGAGAACATAGACTTGAGCCCAGTCTTCGATGGTAGTCGCTGTGCTTGATCTGAGTAAGGGGATGCAGTGTTGAATCCGACAAAATGTCTGTGTTTGAAACGCTAGTAGACCACTGGCATCGGATTTCATCGGACTCCTGAAACTCCGTGGTCTAACTCGCAAAAAATCCTCGAAATCATGTTAGTGTGTACTCAACTGTTATCCCTTGCCTTGCTGGCAGCATTGAGCCACCAGTCTCTTGAAGGTCTACATGAACGCAAGAGCAAACTGTTCGATCATTCCCACCATGACGACATGACAACGGGTGAGTGCGTTCCATCTTCTCCTCCTACCAACTATTGCAGCAGTATTGCTTACCGTGCTTCGGCAGACTTGGAAGCTCCTCAACGTACACGATAGCAGCAGGAACAACAAGAACAGCGTGGAGTCCGGGTCAACAAATGCGTCGCCATCCTTACTGCTCCCAACGCTGGAAAGTTACCTTCGCAACACCGGTCTCGGTTTAAGATGCATCTTGAACTCCGAACTCTTGAGAGATACTAGAATGGACGCGTTACTTGGGAACGGTCCCATGAGTAAACAGGGAGGGAAGGTCCTGAGCGAGTTGAGGAATGTTATACAGGCGATCTTGCAGTTTGGCATGGAAAAGACGGTGTAGTGCTCTGCCACCCATGCAAAGTCTGTGGCTAATTCAAACGCCTTCCACACAATCGTCCAGCGTTCCTCACCTCGGCTGCATTTCGTCTGCTCATCGCAAACTTTTTCCCTAGCTGCTCGGGGAATCGGGATGTTGCAGACCCTGCAATTCAAGTGCATAGTATGGCTGCAGACGTTGAAGACAGGTTGAAAGCCTAGTCAACGTGGAGAAACTGCTGATAAGATTAAACATGACGTTGTTCTGCGTTTGCAACAGGCATATTCAAGTCTTGCCCAAATCACTATTGCATAAACTGACCTCGCTTGTCGTAGACCCTCGACAGAGTACAACAAGACCCTGCCTCGCGATACGTCGTCAAAGCCAATGTCATTATTTTGTGCAAACACGGTCATCGTTACGGACATCATCTCGGAAATCACATTTCCTTCAAACTATCCTCCTCACCCGTATCGTACAGGTAGCAATCCCAACGTCAACGTCATCTCTCCACCTGATAAGGACAACTTTGGTGATGCGGGGGTTGAAGGCGGCGAGACACAGGCAGTTCTCTCGACAGTGTTAGAAAAATGTACGTTTCAGCGAGATCGAGTCAAGTAAAGTAAATGAGGTACAACGAACGATTTGTGAAATTTTCGTGCGACAGGGCGAATTACGATGCACTGTAATAAGGAAAGCCTGGAACGCTGCCGGGCATCAGATAATCTTCTCTTTCCAGCCCGTTGAATGTCAAGATGTTGGGGAATGCCGCCGCCAGGGCTGTCCTGCATTTTAAATTCTTTGCGTAGCCTAGAGGACTAGTAAAAAGGCTGTGAACTGCCCACTCTGGAACGTAAAGATTTTTCATCTCCTCACAAAACTACCAAAGAAAAACTAGCCTAAGATTGTAGGCACAATTCGAAACAGATTCAAACTCACCGCGTCTGCTGTAGCTTCAGCGTTCAGGGAAATCTCCGAACCTTCTTGTGGAAGGATGGAGTGAAACATAATGGTAAGATCTTGAAGATTTGGTAATGTGGTTGATAGAAACCGAAGGAGGTCGGGGCTGAGGTAGATTGTAAAGATATGCAATTTTCGGAGTTTTGATCGAACCACAAATCCGTTGATTAAATCATTGACCTCGGCGAACGAAAACGTTCCTGCGGTTAACCGTAAGGTAGTCAATTCGGCATTGTACCGCAGAACGTAGTCCACCGCAGCGGCGGGATGGAGAGGATAAACGCAGCCATCCAGAGACAGGTTGCGTAGTCCCGGTAATTCCACATGGAAGCAAGGAGGTTGAAACCAATGACTTGATGGGGTTGTGAGGTCGGAAAAGCCCTGCTCGAGCCGTATTGCCAAATTCCTAAGCTGGTGTTGATGCAATGACAGGAAATCATGGAGTGCTGAACAATCCGTTTTCTCGTCAATAGAAATGGAGAAACTGTCAAGAGATGGCATATAACTGAGATGTTTCAAGGGAAGATCCAAGTAGTCATTTGAATACAAGGAGTGGAGGGTGAGAGCCCGCAGAGTATTAGAATGGTTGTTGATGAGAGGAAGGAGAGTAGTGAGTTGTGTTACATCTCCTTCAGGGACGTAATTTACGAAGGGCGGGCAAGTCATAGAAACTTCCAGTACGAGTTCTCGTAAATCTGGAAGTTTGAGAGCGATGGGGTTACTACTAAGAATGCCATAGACAACCACCAAAGGCATCTTCAATCGGAGGATTTGTAAATTTGGACCGAAAGAATCCCAGCCCGCTGAAAGGAATCCGAGGAGCGGGGTGTATCCAGTCGAATACCAGAACTCGAAATAGTCGCACACAACCTCCAGTTGTGTGAGGGAGGCAAGATTATATAGAATCTTGCCATCGAATTGAGTTTTTGCACCAGGCCGATCAGTATAGGACGGTCCCCGTCGCATATTCCCAAGTACGTTTGAAATCAAATTTCCTGTGAAGACCGGTCTCGGTTGCATGGGGTTCATCTTTTGAAGCACATTTGAGAAGATCCTTTTCCATTTTCTTCGGCCACGTATGTCATGGTGAAGAAAAGCTCCAAAAATCGTGGGACGTAGGTGGATCACTCGAACATACTTGGCGAGTGTTTCGTCCCTGTCAAAGGTTCCATTAAATTATAACGACGGAAACTGGAGGAAAGGAACATACTTTAGGCGACGTTCAAGGTCACGAAACCTTCGTTTATCAATTGGAAGCCCGTCCAAATCAACAAAACGGTAGCGTTGTTGGAAGGCTGCCTCAAGAAATGGGCGGTTGACACTGTACAGCCTTTGTACCTCTTCGGTGGGTAGGAATTCGATGATTTTCCACCATAATTCGTCTGGAAGATCTGGGGTATCGATGTGGGTTCCCCGAGTTATCAGGCTGGATTTTCTGGAGTGCCACATGGCGGGTGCAAATCAAAAGTTCACTTCATGGCAAGTTTCTCCGACATCATCTCTAGCTGTGAGAACATCAGATTTCATCTCCTGTGTCTGAACGCATTTGTGTGTGCTCAGCTGTCATTCCTTGCAATTGCCTTGAGCTGACCTGCAGTATTAAGGACACACCAGTCCCTTAAATGAACTCTTCGATCATTCCCTCTATGACGACATAATAAAGGTGAGTCCGTCTCATCTTCTCCTCTTACCAAAAGAATGGACTATTGCTTACCGTGCTTGGGCAGGCCAGCTCCTCCTCAACGTATACGACAGCAGCAACAACAAGAACAGAATGGGGTCAACAAACTCGTCGCCATCCTCACTGCTCTCAACGCTGGAAAGTTACCTTCGCAAGACCAGCTTTCGGCCTCTGGGAATGGGCCCATGAGTATACAGGGGAGGAAGGTCTTGAGCGAGTTGAGGAATGTTATACAAGCGACCTTGCAGTTTGGCATGGAGAAGAATGGTATGGCCCGGGCGTTCTGATACCCATTCAAACTCGGTGGCTAATTCACGTATTAGATGATGACAAGATTCAAGACTTGCTGTACGAAACTACTCAGATCGAAGGACCCCCCATAGGCTTAGATGTGGATAGTTCAGCGGCTAGTACAAGACTCGACTCGCTCAGCGCGGGCGCTTCTGAACTCAAGGATCAATGTACGTTTATAACGCTACAATTTGACTGTAACTAACGGCCCCCTCCTATTCAGTACCAACTGCTGGAGACTTCGCGTTTGATGCCGCGACTCTAATAAACGCATTCCACACAATCGTCCAGTCATTCTTCACCTCGGCTGCATTTCGTCTGATCATCGCAGACTTTTTCTCTATCTTACGCGACCTGCTCGCGCATGCCGCTGGGGATGTTGCAGATACTGCAATTGAAGTGCACGGTATGGCTGGAGACGTTGAAGACAGGTTGAAAGCCCAGTCGATGCCTACCAAGGTTGGGCTGGATGACTTATCTGCCACTGTGAACAGCCTCGTGGATGAAGCAAAGGATCGAAGCGAAGAGAGCGTCAACAAGATGCGTGGCATCAAAGACGAGTGGAAGGACCTTGGTGCAGAAACTGCTGATAAGATTAAAAATGACATCGTTTTGCGTTTGCAACAGGTATGTTTAAGCCTTGACCAAATGATTATTGCCTAAATTGACCTCGCTCGTTATAGACCCTCGACAAAGTACAACGAGACCCTGCCTTGCGATACGCTGTCAAAGCAATTTCAATTATTTTGTGCAAATACGCTTACAAGTTCGTCGTCGTTGCGGACATCATCTCGGAAAGCACATCCCCACCAAACTATCCCCCTCACCCATATCCTACTGATAGCAATGCCAACCTCAATGTCATCTCTCCAGCACTCAAACAGGCGCTGGTCGACTTCCGGACACTTTTAGAACGTATAGCTCAGGGCCGTTCTCTGACTGGTCTCCTATCAGCCTTTGAAAATGTCGTGCGCGAGATTACCAGCGTCCCAGGGGAAGTCGCAGAAGAAGTGGAAAAAAGGATTGTTGACAAAGATGCGGGGAAGAAAGGCAAGAAAGGGAAAAAGGCGAAACAAAAGGCAAAGCAAAAACAGGCAGATAAAGAAGCTGGCGTAGACTCAACGGGTGATACCGTCCTCTGGCACTACTTTTCGAACATTGGACGGTTCTTGGAGAAAGCGCTCGCTGAGCCTGGATGGGCCATGTCGCATTCGGGTCAAGTCGCTGTGAAGACGCTGGTGGAAGATACTGTGAGACTGGTCAGCGTGGTTGGGGAAGTAGTTGAGGAGGAAATCGTTGGTGGTATTGATGAGAAAGAGGAGGCCGGAAACGAATCCCGAGGGCAACCGAAAGCTCCATCCGAGCTCCAGCTCAACAAATTTGGCGCGGACGTGCGGCTATTCCTCAACGAACTGGAGGCGTACGTTCTTGCTGTGGAAGGCGACAAAACAACGATGAAGCTCGTCAACGTCCTCGACTCTTTTGGCGACAGCGTTTCGGATTTCACCTCGACGGGTGTGAAGCAGCAAAGGAAGCGAGATTGGGGACAGGCGTGGACGCAGTGGCTAGGATGGGCAATACCTCGGGTGATAAAGATGCTCCCTGCCAGTGGGACCATCCCCATACCTTCGATCGAGGTGAAGAGTGGCGGTGTGGAGGCCGGGTTGTACGCCCTTTTCGTGCAGGGCTTGAAGAACGGTGGTGGAGTGGGGACGAGTTTGGTACCTGATGAAGTGGTTGTGAGGGAATGGTCGGAGATGAAGATCGATATGGCAGATCCCCCTTCAACCTCGACAAGTGACCTAAATGAAGGCTACAGCACGAATTCAACGCAACCCGCAGTCGGGACCAGGAAACGACCGTCCATCGAGACCAGTTCGCGGGTCCGTGTCCACATTGATGGTGTACGTGCCAAAGCCGAAGGAATGGGATACTACTTCAAATATCCTATTCTGGGTGACTGTACATATGAAGATGAGGGTGTGTTGAGTGTTGACGTTGGTATGGGGGCTACGGGAGCCGGCTTTGGGATCGATGTGGAGGTCGAGATTGAAAGTGGGAGTGTACCTCTGGAACACGAAGAGAATGTGGTTATTCCTGCCATCGTCGTCCACGACGAGGAAGAGCAGCAAGTCAATGATGGTGATGATGACGATGACGGGCCGCCGAATATCGACATTCAAAAAGCTGTTGCCCAAGCCGTTCGCAGGTCTGCAGCAGTTGCTTCTCCCGCTGCTGCTGCTGCTGGTGAGATCAACGTCTCCCGCCATGACGTGTCGAAGCCCGCATCTGTCATCGCGAAACCCCTTTTCCGTGTTGTGGACGTGGAAGTCGCACTTCGTGGGCTGAATTTCAAGATCGACCAGAGCCGTCATTGGATATTGAATAAATTGGTGCTGCAGCCTCTTGTGGGACCTACTGTATCGCGTCTGGTGAAGAAGGCTCTAGAGGATAAAGTGAGGAATGGGCTTGAGGAGCTGTCTCAGGCCCTGGGAGATGCTATTGTGGACGTTCAACAGAATGCGGTCGCTCGTGAAGGGGCAGAGGGCACGCTAGAATGGGCTGCAGTGATTGGTGATTGGGTCCGCGCACTGGTCAAGGCCTTGATCAAGCACACGCATCGTGATGATGCGGAATGTGTCGACGGTTCGAAGACGACGACACATATGGATGCGACACTGAAGGGCGTGGTTTACACCTCCACAATGGCCCAGCAGCAGCCGACTGCGACGCCTCCCATGGTTTACGACAGGTCTAGCGAGGAGGTTAACGCGCCAGCACCTCGAGGTGGTAAAGGACGGCAAGAACTGGAGGAAGACTTTGAGGCGGACGCTTACGAGACCGTTGTCGCTGTTGGTGGCGGACCACAGTTGTTCCCCGGAAAAGGAGGGCCTTATGGTGTGCGAAACGATGACGCTGCTAGTGGGGGGAATGATGAAGAGAGGCAGGGTCTGATTGAAGGGTTGAAAAGGTTAGCTGATGATGCTGTTGATGGGGCAAGACGGGGACGGGAAATTGTTGGAGAGGCTGGGGCCAATTGGGACGAGAGAAAGAAAGTAGAGGCGCAAGGAAACGGGTGGAGAAGCGAGGCATTCAACATTTTTGATGTTCACCCGAGTTCTCGATGAATATTGAATCTTTTTCGGCGCGGTACCTACATATATAAAATACTCAGGCATAATAAATTTCGGTTGTTCATGTTTGGACCCAAGTCAACCTGAACATCAACTCCACAGGACCACAATCAAACCACAATTTGAATATGCCTCGCGTCGTCCACCTCAAAGGAACCTTCAGATCTCTCCACATCTGAACATTGTTGTTGCCATTGTTCAGGTTTTGGTCGGAGCTTCAAATCGTCATATAAATGTCAGATAATGTTGTTCAATTGAACGAAGCCACCTATTCTGCAATATGCCCCGCACCCACCTCGCAGGAACCTACGGAGTTCTCATGAACGAATGCTGGATGCTGGAAGAGGGTTTCAAGCGTGGTCTTGTCAAATACGACCCCAAAACCTACAAATACTTACTCCAGGGATGGCCTGAACAGCCTTTCAGCGATGCAACAAAAGATAATCTACGAGTCTGGCCTTCCTGGCCTCCACATAGGTCAAGTTTGGGTCGGAGATGGGCCTCAGATGGCTTAACCATTCTATCCTGGGTTTTACCCGGCTCGTTTTGGAGAGGCCGTCACACTGCCAAAGTTGAGGAACAGATGAAGAAGTTTTGCGAACTTGCCCACATCACTTTCCACCCGAAGCCCAGGTGGTGGGCTTCGGCTGACGGAGACATGCCTCCAATTTTGAAGGGCGTCACCCAGGTGTGCGGAGAGCTTGCTGCGATGCAATTGGAAAGCTCGCCATACTGGCAGCCGAGGCGGCGACCTGGCTAGTGATGTACGTCTGTCTTCCTTTTGCGTTCACTTGGCTTTTCTAATGTTATCAGCCTTGAGCCTGTATTTTTTATCAACGATTCGCCACCTCACTCTCTCTGTCGCCTTTGCATACCAATGTCACTCAATTATTGTCATCCGTCAGGAAATACCAGCTTGTGTACTTGGAAGTTATGTATTCCGGAGCGGTCCCAATGAAGAACAACCGCCTTCCGATACACATGTGCAGCGCCAGTAATTACGACAAAAAGACACAGTACTCCCCCCTGCCACAGATTTTGAATTGCGATTACTCCGAGGCGACTGCTTTCGAGTCTAAGTGCGCCCCGACTTTAAAATCTCAAGAAGAGCGAGTTTGTAGTAATATTTCTCTTGTCAGGCTCGTCTTTCTTCTCCAAAACACATTCGTGTACCAGATGACCATCAAACACATCGCAGCGCTATCTTTCATTTCACAAGCATTTTGCGAATCGCCAAGTCTGTTGAAGGATACTAGGTTTGAAGCCAAGTACTACTACTTGAAGCTCGTAACGCTCCCAGTATGCACCCATGGCTATTATTAGCAACGCATCGTTGGATTGCGCCATGTGATGTCACCATTGAAGTCGCTGGCGCCTATTGACAATCCACTTACAACAAGACAATGTCAAGCGTAGCAACAACGCTCGTCGTGGGTGCTTCACGAGGATTAGGTCTTGAGCTGGCAAAAGCACTGGCGTCTCAGGGACACAACGTCTTTGCAACCATTCGTTCCGCAAAATCAGCATCATCGCTACCACCCAGTGTCCATGTCATCGAAGGGGTTGATTTGAGCGAGGAGAGTGCCGGTCCTGCTATCGTCCAGGGTTTGAAGGGACAGAAATTGGATCTCGTTATCGTCAATGCTGGGGTGTTCAAGAAAGAGGTACGTTGCGCCGATCATGCTCGATCATGAATCGTACCCTTTAATGAGATCTGAGTGCAGACGCTTGATAGCTTAAACTTCGACGGTGAAGTGGAAATGTACAAAGTTGTAGCGATCGCGCCTGTTTTCATTGCCCATCATCTGTCAGTTTGAGATTATTAACTTAATACCCCACTTCGGGCTGAAATTTGCAACAGGTGGAAGGCGGACCTCCTGCCTTCAGGCTCTAAATTTATTCTCATCAGTACCGAAGGGGGGTCCATCCAGTTGAGAACAAAGGAAGAAGGCGGTGGAAATTATGCTCACCACGGAAGCAAAGCCGCCGAGAACATGGTTGGAAAGCTGCTTTCCAACGATTTTTACGACAAAGGCGTCACTGTGGCCATGATCCACGTAAGGAGCCTGGTTATCAAAGAGTCGGCAAAGTCTGAAAGGGTAAAAATTATAGCCTGGCTTTATGAGGACGGACATGACAAAGGGCGTCGGCTACGACCAATACTATGACTCTGGTGGAGGTGAGTCAAGTGTTTGTTTCCAAGTGTTCAAGTTGACGCAGAGATATCCAAGCCGTCGAGCCTAGCGAGGCAGCCCGCTCCACTCTTGAATTTATTTCGACCATTACGCACGAGAAAACGGGGACATTTTGGGCTCCTCGTGGACCAAGGTTTGTAACTTCCGTGTTACTCACCGACAATGGATAGCTGAAGTCTTACATTCCGTCAGAGATATCGGGGAAGCCGAGCGCGTCCTTGGGGAAAATCTGCCGACCCCTCTGCAGCTTCCCTGGTAAACTGGCGCTAAGTTGGGATCGCGTTGTACTATAGGGCTGCCTCAAGAAGTTCCTAGAAGATGTAAATAAGTGAATCTACTGTTAATTGGTCCTTGCTTTTTCAGTGGGCTATCCGGAGGAACGGTCAGAAGTACCTCCGAGTGAGTGGTCGCAAGCCCAGAGGTTGAATTCATACCAGAAGTCCAAAGTCTCAGAAACGCAAGAAGGAAAAAAAAGAAAAGCACAAGTCACTGTCCAAGTCATCTAGATCTACTAACCATCCAGCAAAAGCAGGGCATCGTCGTGGAAGGAAGGGTATACTATATATACAATTCACAAAAACGGACGACAATTACAATTACAAAGGTGGCTAGAATAAGAGTGAGGGGACGTAGCAGCGTGCGTGATATGAATTAAAAACGGGATCATGCCATTGAGGAAGGAAGCCCGGTTGATCCATTCTTCGAGAATGTACCAAGGGGGAGGTAAATGACGGCCTGATCCTCAGCGCTGAGAAGATCGCTCAAGCCTATGTAGTACGCAACCAAGGAAGTGACAACGCCGATCCCTCCACCAGCTTTGGTCACACTGCATAGCAAATAATCAGCCTATAAGTATCTGTGTACACAACTACCACACTTACTTGGCTACACCCGAGAAAGAGCCTCCAGCGAGGAGAATGAACGTAAGAGTGAGAAAACTGAACAGCGTAATAAGCGCGATGCTCTTGCGGAGGGTGGCAATCCTACAATGGAAGGTCAAAAAAGACACTTCAAGAACTCGGAAAATAGAAGACCCACGTAAGGAGGAACGTGAAGATCGCCCAGGTGAGGAGGTAAATCCCGAGGGCAGATTCGAATTCATCAGCGTTAGTATATGCAGCACTGATGCCACTGCCGGGGATGAAGATCGTCGCGAAGGACATCCAGAACGCGCCAAATGACGTGAATGCTATTACGATATTATCAGCATAATTGGACTCCGAGAGCTACGGGATATGCGTCGACGCGCCAAGGAAACGCAAGTCGAGGAAAATCTAGGCGCCGGGAATCGGGATAGTTTGAAATTTAACTCACCAGTGGCACTGAAAGCATTCCCCCTGGGGAACTCCCACATGCCGGCAAGGAGTTGAGCGAGGCCGCCGCAGAAAAGCCCCATGCCGACAACGACATTCGGGTGGCTGATGCTCCGCGTGCCCAAGTTGTATAGCGAGAGGATCAAAGTAGTAGACGCAAATGAAAAGAGACCTCTGTTGAAAAAAAAATGGAAAAAGTGAGAACGGGGAGGACAACTTTGAACGCAGTGGGCATACAATGTACCGGGCTCAGCGATCCTGGAAGGACGAGCTACGCCGTAGCTATTCGCATCGGAATAATTGACAGGAGGGTTGTTGGCCTGTACGGCAGCCTTCTCGAGGACATCAAGCGACGAAGGCATGTTTGATTCGGCAGGGAAGTTTTAGGAAGGAGCGTAGTTGAAGCGGGAAAAGGCAAGGCAAGATGAAGAAGGCAGTGGAACGGCTTAAGTGGGTGATCTCAAAAACGCAAAAACATTTGGCCCCCGTTGCCGGGCTTGTTCTGTTTATGCCTCATCCCAATGTCATGGTCGATCGTTGCGCGCCCGAATATTGTCAAATAAATTTTACCACGGAATTTGCGGTAGTTCCGCAGGTAATTTTGGAAGAGAATGCCCGAAATGGTCTGAATACCTTCCCACTTTAGATCGAGCGGAAGCTAATATTTTTTGGTACAACTCCAACCCGCCGCTTAAGACGGCACGTCCGTCGCCCCGCACTCCTCCATGTGCGTCATAAATAAAACTGATAATCCCCCCACCGGCTCCCCAATACCCTCGCAAAGAAAAAATTCAGGCTCATGATGACAATTTCGAGGTCCTAAATATACCTTCCGCCCGCTCGAGTCTAGACTCTTTGCGGCTGCTGCAAAGAAGGACAGCTGAGCTGAAGTCGGACGGTTTCTCTCTTTCAGTTTACTTCGCAGTTTTACTCGAAGATCTCCGACAGGGAAGACTGAGCTTTTGCCATTCAATCCATCCAGATAAGAACCAACTTGGAAGAGGGCGGCGAATATTATCATCCTCGCCAAGGAAGCAAAGCCGCCAAGAACATCATGATGGATGGAAACGTTGCCGTCGATCATTGGTCGATCAAGCATTCAATAGTCGGGCACGACGCAAAATATACCAGCCGTTGAGGCTCGAGCTCCGTCGATCCGTTCTACTCTCAGTCAAGTTTAATTCCACCGTTCTGCACGAGTAAGCTGGGGCAGACTACTCGTAAACCAAGGTTTGCCATCTCAAGCGCTTCCTACAGATGACGTGTCGTAGCTGGAGAAGGCGGACGCATTCTTGTCGAAGATTTACCGATCCCTTTCCCTTATGCTAAGTAGTAGGCGGTCGACGCGTAAGTCAAGATCCTTTCGTTCGAAGAGTGGCAGGGAGAAAGAAAAAGTAGATAGTTTGACTGCTGGCCAGCCCCTGTGTCTTTGAGTTGTCCAATAGAGTGATCTTGTTGAGATCAGAGAAAATTGCTAAAGGCTGGCGTCAGGGGACAACCGCAAAGTCGGTAAGGCCTACTATCATAGTGGAAGGAGACCTCGCATCGTCTAGCAGCAGCTTGTGGAAGACTCCGTTCGGGACAAGCGTCAACAAACAAACGTTCTAACAAGCACAGCAACTTGCTCTCAGCCAACTCTCAGCCATCCCTTGTCCAAGCGCCGATCTCAGAAATTTCGGAGATGCGACGAAGCGGACTTATAGCTTCCAACGAAGATTCTCCGTCGTCAAATGAGGAGATTGAAGAGGAGGACATTTCTGCTAGCGACGATGGTGATTCGGACAATCAAGAAATCGATGCCACTCCAATCCAGCACAAAAAGCGGGCGAAAAGCACCCATGATAGTCGGCCATCGTTTAATACCATAGTGGAAACCTCGTTTGATGCGTACTTCACTTACAATTCTTCCCGCGCACAAACTTCTACCAATGTTTTCTCGAAACTGGTTTTGCCCCTTACTCCTGAAGAATACTCAGAAGCCATACGCTCAGCGGCCAGCAATCTGAAGTCGGTGGAGCCTGCCATACTTGCAGATGGATATCGTACCAAGGTCTTTTCTCGTTGCATGTCCGAACTCAAGGAGGGTTTCAACATTCTCTGTTACGGATATGGATCCAAACGGGACATTCTCAATAAATTCGCAACTGAATGTTGCGCGAAAGCCGGCCACGTCGTTGTAGTCAACGCGTTTCAACCCAATTTTGTGATGAAAGATCTTTTTACTTCGATCGAAAACGTACCCGGCGTAACAGACCAAGAATTAACTTCCACGGCTATCGAGAAACAAGCGCGGAGAATTTACGACTTCTTCGCAGGGCCATCGCAAGAACATCTATATCTCATCATACACAACATTGACGCTGCTCCTCTACGTAACCCGAAGGCGGAGGCTCATCTTTCACTCCTTGCGCACAATCCACGCATTCACATCGTCGCATCCATTGACCACATCAACGCTCCCCTTCTCTGGTCCTCTTCGGAGTCATCCTCTCGTAAACCTCACGGACCGATAACCGATTCTACTACATCTCGTGGATTTGCATGGTTGTGGCACGACCTTACAACACTTGCCTCCTATGATTTTGAGCTGGCATTCGCAGACCGGTCGTCGATATCTGGCGCCCATGGAGGAGGAGTGCGTCGGAAAAACGACGCACTTGCACCGCAGAATGCCACCGCAATGAGCGAGACGGCCGCTCGGCATATTTTAGCGTCAGTAACGCAAAAAGCGCAGAAGCTATTCCTACTGTTAGGAAACAAGCAGCTTGAAAGTATAGAGGAAGCGGGTGACGACGGAGCTAGCGACCTTCAGCAGTTCGCTATGGCTTACGATACTCTGTTCAACAACGCCAGAGACAATTTTATCGCCACCAACGATACTGCCCTTCGCTCTCTGCTAGGGGAATTCAGGGATCATGGCTTAATCGTTTCCGCCCAAGCTGGGTCCGGCAGCGGAGAAGTTTTGTGGATACCCCTGCGAAGGGAAAGATTGACCAGCGTTTTACAGACGTTACAAATTGATAAGTAGTCTTTCACCCTTCTTCTATGCCCGCCTTCAAGTTCATTTGCTACTTCTCCGCCGTGATACCATCAGCACTTGTAAAATATCGAAACTCCAAATGTACCAGAGGTATGTATATTACAATTACTTATGTCAGTCTATCCCGTTTCATCATGCCATACCAACGACTCTCAGAACACCATGCGGGGTGTATTCGAGTCCCTCGACGATTTCGATTCTCTGCCGGTCTGCACATTGAGGCGAAGGATTAGCGGCGTGACGCAAGGGTAAATTGCCTTGCTGACCTCGATATCGCACATGGGAACATCATCTGTCCACACTTGTTGTACAACGGAACGTCCGATCTTTATTTGACCAGAGGGTGAGGGATCCAGTCTGGGAAACTTGGTTCGTATCGGGCTATTGATTTCATACAGTGAGGTAGTTTCGGCGGGCGAATCTGAAGGAGCATTTCTTGCTCCGACGGAATGTGTTCGATTATTGAATGTGGCAACGATTGTTATTGAGTATAGTTTTGCAAGCAAGATGGCGGGAATGACAAAGTAGATGTTGACTGAAAAGTCGTGGCGAAATCCAACAAACAAGACGGCGCTGGAGATGGATGCGGTGGCTGTATTTTTTTCGGAACAAGACATTGAGAACACGACTTGACAAAAAAAAAGACATGGAAGCACCTGTGAAGATACCTGTCTCTATCGTCAAACGGATGATTTTGGTGATCAGGAAATGTGTATTTTTGAAGCGAGGACTGCGTAGTAACTACCATACCGCGTCAGTCGATGACCTTGACTTGGCGAGATAAATTTCCTTACAAAAAACGTCATACACCCAGCAATAGCAACATCACACAAGGCCGCTGAGCCATTCCAGAGCTGTTGTGATGTAAGCCGCGATGATACCATCGTAAAATTCGAGTAACTTACCCCACAAAAAAGATAGATATGATCCACATGCACCAGCTGCGATAACGTCCCAGCTTTAAATAATTTAGCAGAGAATGTGAGAGCCGAAGCGACGGCAAAGGCAGCAAGCTTAAAAGAGAAAGAATTATATATACATTTTAGACGCTGGAAAGCATGCATATCACTCACCACAAAAATAAACATGCCCACTTGCCACAGCCCGGAAAGAATGTATATTCGGTATGCAAAAGTGGAATGACAGACAAAACCAACTAGATTGGGAAAGGGTTAGACTTGGTGAATTCGAGCGACTATGCTGGGTCACTGACCAAGACCGCTCATGACAGGAAGCGTCAGCCAAAGAAGGTGCAGATTGTCCAGGGCTTCAAATTGACCAAAGCCTTCTGCGTAGACGGTGTACGCATCTGTGGTGGCTAATATGGTTTGCGCGAGCTCCACGACGAAGAGGAAGTATATAAGAAACTTCCAGTGCCATCGGTCGTTAGGAAAGCTCATATAATAATTATCTGAGGAGACGATAATTGATCGCGCGGGTAAGTCATGGAATTATGAGACTCACAGACTTGAACCACAAGAATTCCCTGAAGACCCCAAGTAAAAAAATATCCCATAAGCTGAGCGAATGTTAGTGATAGCGTTTGCGCAGGAAGTCGGCGACGTACAAGTGAACTTAGCCTGGATTAATGGGTTAACAAATGTGTGGATATAGGGTAAGGTCTCACTCACAGTGGAAGAATAAGCGCGATTAAAGACGACTTAGAAGACGGCATCGTGACTCTGAGCGGCGAGGACACAAGAGCTGGAGAAATCTGAGTTGACCAGCGGTGATAGTATTTATTTATCATGAAGACCGAAATGGAGATGAATGCTTCCATCGGTGGTGTCATGTTTTGAGCTCTGATGACGAAAACCCTTGGAAGGCTTTTCTTCTTCCCTTCAAAATTTCGAGAGTCTCATCGACGTATACGTATGTTCATTTCCTAAAATAGCGCTTTACTTCAACCCCAAAGATAAGTCCAGGGCAAGGGTTAACTTTCATTTACCTTCTTCCGACAAGTGATCCGTCCAATTGAGGGCATCGTGGTCAGAGTCCTATGCCATCTTGAGCCTTGAGGTCAATACATAAATTTAGAAGGGGAAGAGACAAAGAAAGCTGCACAAACGTGGTTATCAAGAAATTCCATCCGTTCAGCCTACTGGGATCGGACCCGGTACTATCAGAGAACTTTGAGGAACTGCTTATATCCAATTGGACTAATTAGGGGAATGATGCATACTTTTGGATGAGTGACGACTCGGCGGCCGGATGCTGTTGATTTTTTTCTTCTCTTGATTGAGCGTCAACGGACCGGTGACTCCAGAACTACGCGTCATAGAAACGGAACATAGAGAGCCCCCCGAGAGATGATTTCCGGTGGCATCTGCGAACTGTGGCAATAGGCTCGTTACTTCACGATGTGGGGTAAGCACTCAGGAGCTCAGGGAGGGTTCGAAAATCCTCGAAAAGTGCCTTGAGACTCTATCCTCCGCCTCAGAGTCGTTCATCTCTCGACGGCTCGAGTTGGATTACCATGCAGCAGGGATGACGACTTTCTTGCGATATCGCAGAGTAGGGTTGGAAAGAAGTACGAACTGCTGACCGCAGATTCAAATATTTCAAGTTCAACGTGGCATAAACAAAGAGCCCTGCAGACTTGCTCGTTTCGCTGTCTGGCCTACCGCGGTGAGGATGGATACTACGAGGAGATATCGTTCGACGCAAGGGGATAACTTGAGTATGTCCAGATTGAACTTGGTCAAAGGAAAAACTGATAAGAGGGATCTCTTGTCATATCTATTAGCCAGTTGGCAGGTTGAGATTGACGCCGATATCTGCATGATTGAAGACGTCAAGAATTAAGATAAGATCTTCTCCTTTTGTTTGTAACCCAGAACAAAATTATGGAATCTGTTTTTTTCCAAATCTGTTTTGGTCCGGCAGAAGCGCGTGCGTACGGCGACATGAGGCCGGGACGTACATGATATGTTGAGACGATGGTGTGCGTGAACTGGGGCAGGGATTTGAGGCTGTATTGTGTGTGTTGGCCAAGGCTGTGAGGATGCGTTGGGGTTGCTATAAGAAACGTTGTGACAATAACGATTAGCAGAAAAGGGTCATGTCCTGTCGAACAGTCTCAGAGTGCGGTAAGCAATTCATCTCCCCACTAACATACTCAAAAATTCTGGAAAACCTATCATACAAGCTTCATACGTGGAGCCTCAGCGCTATAGTAGGTTCTCAGAGTCAAAGGTTGACGTTCTCAAAGGGTAGTTGAAGGCATGCCGAGCGCTCCAGCTCTCGGAATCATGGCATGCGTAGATGGCATTGCGATCATTGCATTGGGGAGGGAAAGAGAAGGAGAGGTGATGATGATGGTAAAGTTACAAGTAGAGATGATCAAGAAGGTCAGGTGATGGTGGACGATCGGGGTGTCGGACTCTCCTCCCAGTGAAAAACCTATATACCATGCAAGCTTCATACGTGAAGCCTCAGCGGTACAGTACACAGCTGGGTTCTCAGAGTCAACGTCATTAACGTTGACGTTCTCCAAGGATAGTTAATTCAAGGCATGCCGAGCGCTCAGCTCTCGGAATTACGACATGCGAACATCGATGGTATTGCGATCACTGCAAAGCATCAGGCAGAATAAGGACAGTGGGGTGGGGTGGGGTGGGGTTGTAGTAGTAGTATGTAATAGCAAGATCTTGAAGGGGTAGTACGGGGTCGCGATACAGTACGGAAGGAAACGGTGTTCTAAGGTGGGGTTATTCATCACAGTCGTGAGATTGGAGAGCTGGCCAAGTCGGGTCGGCGGCGGCGGTGATAAAAGTGGGAGATGCCTTGGGGGAGGGAAGAGAGAATAAGGAGAGAGATGATGGCGGACGAAAAAGTAGAGACCAAGGTAGAGGCAGTGTACGGAGAAAGAGAGGTGACCGGAGGAGTGATGCCTTGGGGTAAGAAGGAGAAGGAGGAGGAGGAGGGGTGAGGTGAAGTTAGATGATAGCGGACGAAAAAGTAGAGATTGAAGGAGGGCCAGTGGACGGAAACGTAGAGGGGTGACCGGAGGGAAGGAAATTTTCGAGTGACCGAGAGAGCCAGGTGGTCGTCGAGGATGGGAATAGAGGGGGGGGGACGATTCGTCTGAGAATGACAGACGAGATTGTTGACTGTTGACAGACAGGGAGAACGAGGTATGTGTTCAAAACACAAACACACAGAGAGAGACAGAAATGTCGAGGGTGGAAAGAAAAGAAATGGCTAGGAATACACTGCATGCATTGCGTGGGTGTCTTTGGGTTGGGTTGGGGTGGGATACTAATACCTGCTATAGCTTTACTAGATGGATTGACAGATGGATTGCTTGGAAGGATGGATGGATGGAATAATAGGTGTTCCACCTTGATGTAGGAGTACTGCGAAATACACAAGAACGAGAGGAACCTTGAGTTTGATCGGCCGAGAGAGAGGGGAAAAATGAAAGATTCAGGAGCGGTTGCTGGCTGCAAGATTGAAAGTAGAACGGAATAACTTGACGTAAACGAGCGTATTGAGGCCTTGAAACGGTCTTGATCACCAAGGGTTATCGAATAACAAAGTCTTGGGGCAGAAAATCACTGCAACCGCGCCAAATACTCTTGCCAAAGCGTATCCACAAACGCCCTGTCAGTCTACATCATACCCCAATCAGCCTCTTTCTTCTCTCCAAAAAGAAAAAAGAAAAACGCACATGAATAAGCGTCAACACCTCCCTCACAAACTCATTCCTCTCCATCCCAATTCCCGGTCCAGGCTGCGCATTCAAAGCAGCCACAATACTTCCCCGAACCAAAGCATGTTCATGTCCATTTGCATTTTCTTCCTCCACACCAACATGCCCATGCCCATTAACCTTTGCAGACACAGACCCATTCAAACTTGGCGCAACCTTCCTCCCCTTCCCGATACCGGTCCCAGCCCCATTAGTCTTACCAGACATAGTGGGCGTCATCATGTCCGACGAGGGTATCCTCCTCGGTGAAGGTGTATGCGCAGGCATCGAGGGAGTATGCACAGACCTTGGAGGCGGAGGCGTGTGCACTGGCATTTGGGGCGTATACACAGACCTCGTAGGCGGAGGCGTATGCACAGATATCTGAGGCGGCACATACACAGGCATCTGCGGCGTCGTATCCTCAAGAGAAGGCGAAAGAGGTGGGGAGAGAGAAGCAGGCGGCGAAGTAACAGCCTGCGTAAGATACCTCGTCGTCGTCGTCGTCGGTTTAACTTGAACTTGCTGAGGTTGCTGCTGAGGCTGCTGGTGCCCTTGCTGCACGACCCCCTGCTCCCGCGGCGCACAAAACCCAGGAACATACCCAACTCCTCTCAATCTCCTCCCTCTCCTTCTTATCCCTCTCCCTCCTCGTCGTCTTTTTCTTCCCCTTCCCCTTTTCTCGCGCTTCCCCAAGACTCGAGGCCGCAACAACACCCCTATGCGTATGCGAGCTCTGCCCATCCTTCCGCGAACCCAAACCCCTCTTCTGCTCCCTCAAAGCCCTCCTAAACGTATCCAAATCACTCAACACACTCGTTTCCTCAAAATCAAGCTCCACAATATCCGCTTCGTCCTCCTCCTCGCCCGAGTCGTGTTGCTCTTCCTCTTCCTTGTGTTGGTGTTGTCCCCCCTGTTGATGGTCTCGTATATCAATGATATTGACGGGTACGGCCACAGTCCCGAATCAGCTTCGAACGGCACCAGTTCCCTATTCGCCCTCGGCTTCACGTTCGCATGCACACTCGAGGGCCCAGAAGACGACTCCAACCCCTTAATAGTAGCCACAGACGACGTAGCCTCAATACCCAGCGGGTGATGCACGCCCACCCCCAAATCCACATCCGCCCTATGAGTCTGAGCATGACACCGCCCATTCAAGAACGCACGCGGCGTAACGTCCCCATTGACCTTCCCATTCCTCGCTCCACCATGCACCAACACGCTTAGGAGCCCATTACCACGTCCACTAACAGGCGACCCCTCCCCCTCCTCCTCACCCTCATTATCGCCCTCCCTAGAACTGGGATGGCTGCTCGATGCGGCTGAGGGGGTACGTGAGGGCGGTAGGCCCAATAACGTGCTGATGACGTCTTGGTTGAGGACTTGGGCTTGGGCTTGGGCTTGGGTGGATGTGGATGTGTGGGTGAGGATATCTTTCGTGGTGCCCCTTGTTGTTGTTGTTGTTGATGAGAAAGGGCGGATACGTTAGCGGCAGACGCGAATATGCGGTCCAACAAATTGATGCCCGTAGCTGGCGTTGACGCTGAGGGTGCTAAAGACGTATGAGGAGGGGCTGGACCGACGATTTCCGGCCCGCTCAGAGCGGCGAATAATGATTCTAAGGTCATGCTTGAGGTGGATGTTGGGAATGTCATGGTGGAGGTTGGTGCGGTGGGAGGAGGACCGGTAAGTACGAATTTTGCGAATAGTTTGTCGACTTCTGATACGGCTCCTGCTGAGGACTGTTCGCTGGCGTAGTCGGGATATGATCGTCTGATCCATGTGCGGAGATATCGTCTTCGGGGTAGATGTGTTGGATATAGTCTTCCATGCCCATGCGATTGAGGACGTAGAATCCGCATGGCGGGTAAACGTCCCTTTGAGTTTTCAAATTTCATCAGCCATCGCCAGGAAAGGAAGGGGCACCAGTGTGGTTGGGTAGGGTTTGTGGATTACGCTGAGGGTTAGGAGTGTATGTGAGCGGGAAGAGAGGAGGAGGGAGGCAAGGAACGTACCCGTTATCTCCTGTCTTTGAACACAACGCTTGAATTTCCCACTTGTGCAGCCTGGTTTGCTGCATGGGATTGGAGGGGCATATTGAACACATTCACACTTGGTTCACACGTCGTGACCATAGGACAACTACCATGCAAGGCTATCTCCGGACACCTACATTGCTTCCACCTACACGTTGCTTCCTACCACCATGGAAGGTCCTTCGAAAGAGACAGTCCAGCGAAAGCCCAATTTCTATGCTAAGCTGAAGAATACATACAAAGAGATCAAAATCTTCAAACCGAGTGTCAGTGGAGCACCCTCACAGCCTTCCAGAACCGCAACGCCCGTTCTTTCGGCTCAAGAGGAGCTTCCGAAAATGGGACGTAACGCAGGCGTTGGTAAGCGTCTTCGCTTCCATTGTTGGCAAGGATTGACGAGCGGAAACCAATATCCAGCGGGGACCAACCCAGAGATTACAACTACGCCTATCGATAATCGTGGAGATCCATCGAAGGGAAGTGGTGTAGCTGCGATCCGTAAGTGTTTCCATCCCAAAAGCCTCCAACGATCCATGAACAGGCAAATGCAGCAGATGCACAGTTTAAACCAGACGAGGACAAGAAAACTGAAGTGCGATTATCCGTTCTGAATTTAATACATCGACTCACAGCCCATGGCACCCAGACGAATCCTACGATTGTGTGGCAAGCTTGGAACATTGACGGCGACGCTATTACTCAGCTCCATAAATGGGGAGGTGATCGCGAAAATTCCAAATGGTCAAAACTTGCGGGACTTATCGATCGGTCGTTGAAATCAAAGACTCGCGATACGCTCAAAGCCTTCATACCCGACAGCCCTTTTCCTGCGAAAACCCTTGTTGAAGCATTGCTCAATCTGGTTGAGCTCGGTATCGTACGCCATTTTGTCAGGCTCATTTCGTTCCGCTGACGCATTCACTCAGAGTATCCCGCTTACTCAAAAGAAAGTATCTGAATTTGCGAAGGAAGCGATTGAGTACATTAGCACGCTTGTCGTGGTTGCTGATGAGGAGCCGTCGGTAAAAGAAGATCTCAAGACGATTTGGTGAGTTTCGCTGAATCTTCCCTGATATCTACAATGCTTACGCATGATTAGTGCGGCGGTGAACGAGATTTGCCGATGGGCAAAGGAGCGTGTTGTAGGTTTATCTTTCTTTTGTCCAACCACTGATTTTGAACTCGGGCAGTCGAAGAAGTCGTTAGAAGATGATTCGGGGGACTGGGAGTCAAAGTTCACGAGCGCGAAAGAGAAATTCCTGGTACGGCGACATTTGCCGGTGTATGACAGTTTCTGAATTGGTTCCTTCCAGGCAATAGCCGTCACAAAAATTCGGGTGAAACAGGAGATTGACGCTCGTTTGGTACGTTTGCTTCTGGTTGCTTGTTGCTGATCAAGGATGCCACTTATTGATCCCACCCAGGCCTCCATCAAAGAGAAGCTTGCCAGCCATATTGCTGCGAAGTACGAACATACAGATCAGAGCAAGAGTGTTTGCGCCGACGGCACTCGTGTGCAACTCCTTGCAGATATACAGGATTGGCTTCTTTCGCAGCCTTCCAACGCGGAGCGTATCTTCTGGGTGACGGGTATTCCAGGCAGTGGCAAATCAACGCTTTCTGCTACCATTGTTGAGAATCTTCGTAAGAACCGCACTCCCGTCTCTGCTCAGTTCTTTATCTCTCGAAACATCAACGAAACGATTGATCCAAACAAAATCATCCCCACTATTGCGCAGCAGCTTGCCATATCATCCCCGACAGCCGCTCGCGTTGTTGAGATGGCCTTGAAGAACGGGTATCCTGCGACGCGGGCCGAGCAAGTAACCTCTCTTCTGTTAGACCCAATCCGAGAACTCTCTAACTCACGCGATGTGGTCGTCATTCTCATTGATGCCCTAGACGAGTTGAACGATGCGGCTAGGAGCGTCATCGAGATCCTTTCCCGCATTGCTCCGATGGACTGTGACCTTCCAAACAACCTTAGATTCGTCATCACCTCGCGTCCAGAGCACTGGGCAGATGTCTCCAGGTCCAAAAAGCTCAAACAGGTGGTGTTCAAGCAGTATTCCCTGGCGACAGAGTCATCTGTCACTGAAGTTCACAACTTTGTTGTTGCTAGGATGAAGGAAATTACACCGGATGAGCCAGATTGGCATGGTTGGCCGGATCCTGACCAATTGCAGAGCCTATCCGACAAAGCAAACGGTCTATTCCACTATGCCGCAACCGCTCTTCATTGGATTGAACGGCGGATTGTCGATGATGGAACGGCGTGTCGAGAGAGGGTGTTCAAGGAATTCAGCGAGGGCGGCCTCAACGAGCTTGAGGATCTGTACAAACACATCTTGACATCATGGGGGAATGTGGATACGCCGCCAAAAGACAACGACAGATGTGCCACTCGACTAGATGGCTTTCAGCACGTTATGGGAACCATCATCGTGCTTCGAAAGCCATTGCCTGTTCGTGAAATCATTGCGCTACTTTCTGATATACCCAAGAACAAGTTCGACGTCACCAACTTCCTTCGGCAGATGCGCAGTGTTTTGATTCCAGGCACCACTACATTGTTTGATGACGCTACGCCACAGATGCACAAATCCTTTCGCGATTATATCACGAGTGAGCGTGCACCACCTGGATTCCAGATCCTGACCGTGGATGCGCACTTCAAGATTGCAAGGAGTTGCTTAGACATCATCGTGAAAGCTGGGAGCCAGGGTGGTAATGGCAACAAGTATGCTATCACCTACTGGCATCGACACTTGCGGGAAGCTGGAGCGAGATGCGATGATGAGAGTATGTGGATGCTGCTGGGTGAAATGGAGAATGAGGGGGTTGTCAGCGTATGGACGAGAAATTGGGATGGGTTAGACGTGTTCGTGTCTGTGGCCAAGACTGGATGGAAGCTGTTGAAGGTGAGGCCGAAGTAGGGAGAGAGACACCAGACTAATGACAGGTATGGCAGCAAAAGACGGATGAGCGAAAATTGGTGCTGATGAGCAACATGTTGGTGAAAATAAAGGTATGCAGTTGGCAGCAGAATGGCAAACCTTGTGCTGTTAGCCTAATGATGCATTTTTTCCTTTGCATCCTTGTCTTAAACACCTGCCTTGTCCATGTATAATCCTGTCTGTTGTGTCTTTGTCTCTAGTTGGTGTGTGCTTTCATCCTCCCCCATCTGTGTTTGATGTACTCAGATCACCCTTTGTCTCCTCATTTCTAGTTGGTGTGTGCTTTCATCCTCCCCCATCTGTGTTTGATGTACTCAGACCACCCTTTGTCTCCTCATTTCTAGGTGGTGTGTGCTTTCATCCTCCCCCATCTGTGTTTGATGTACTCAGAGCACCCTTTGTCTCCTCATTTCTAGCATGTGTGTGCTTTCATCCTCCCCCATCTGTGTTTGATGTACTCAGACCACCCTTTGTCTCCTCATTTCTAGTGGGTGTGTGCTTTCATCCTCCCCCATCTGTGTTTGATGTACTCAGACCACCCTTTGTCTCCTCATTTCTAGCATGTGTGTACTTTCATCCTCCCCCATCTGTGTTTGATGTACTCAGACCACCCTTTGTCTCCTCATTTCTAGGATGTGTGTGCTTTCATCCTCCCCCATCTGTGTTCAATGTACCATTCAATCTCACCTGCCCTTACTGTCTAGATTGTATGTTTTCTTCCTTTCATTTATCAATACTAATGTTCCCCCTTTCTGGATGAAGCCATATACTGGGATCTGGCGTCATGGTCTCCTTGAGACCTGGAAGCATTACCAATCAGAGGTCTTGCATGCTAACATTGTGGAAATCCATGCTGAATCCAATGATAAATGAAGGTTTTTGGCTTCCTTTACTGATGTGAATATTTGCTAACATTTTGTTGTCATGTTTAACCTCCAAGATATAGTGCAGTAGAGACCCAATGGTAGTGTGATAGTTTGAGGAGTAGAATCAGGAGATATTATTCCCCACATTATTTATATTTTTTCTGGAAAAATATATCCATTTAATTTTAACAAATAATAAGGAGTATGTGTTCTGAGCTGGTCTCTAAGTGTATATGAAAATTCCCATTCCTTGAGCCCAATATAATCACTTCAGTCACCCACCTTGAACAAGCTATTAGCCTTGTAAAATGTAAGAATATATCCAGGCTAATAGGTTGTGCAGCCATTAATTTTTTCCCTTTGGGAGAAAATATAATATTGGATTGGGTAGAAAATGTTTGACCTTTAATATTGTGACCAGAAATGTTTGGGTACATAAATTGTGTTCAAAAATATCCTAGTCAAGCGAAAGTGGTCATAAATGTTTGAAGGGTTTCAGACTGGTAAAAAATGTTTGAAGTGTGTCAGACTGGTAAGAAATGTTTGAGCCAAATCAAACTGGCTAGAAATGTTTGAGGTGTGCCAGAGTGGCTAGAAATGTTTCAGTGGTGTGACATCACTTGGATATGTTCTAAGCATGTCACACTGCCGAACAATCTTTTGGCCTTGTCACATCCCTCAAACATATCCAACCAGTGTCACAGGGTATCTGGGGTCCCAGTTTCAAGAAAAAAACTTGGTTTTTCTGGTGCATTTTTCTCAATATTTTGTACATTTGTTTTTTTTCCCCTCAAAACTCATCTAAGTGTATTTTCACCAACACCCCACTTCTATCTGTCATGTTCACCACTCTAAGGTTGTTTTCACCAACACCCCCATACCAACACCCTGGTTCTACCTGCTATTTTCACCAACACCCCACTTCTATCTGTCATATACACCACTCTAACTTTGTTTTCACCAACACCCCACTTCAATCAGCCATGTTCACCACTTTAAGGTTATTTTTACCAACACCCCACTTCTATCTGTCATGTTCACCACTCTAAGGTTGTTTTCACCAACACCCCGGTTCTATCCACTTCAGTCACCCACTGCCAACTGACTATTAGTCATGCAAACTCCAGGTATGTTCAAACCCCTACATGTAATATCAAACATCTATCCCAATCCACTTTCAAAAACCAGAGTTTACAAAGTTCTTTGTTCTTTCTCCCCTTCTCTCTCCAGTTGCACTGTATCTCCATACCCCACCAACATCTGTATTACCATCCCCCACCAGTCAAACCCCCACATGTGATATCAAACATCTCTCCTAACCCACTTTCACAAACAAGAGTGCACAAAGTTCTTTGTTGTTTCTCTCTTTCTCTTCCTCTCTTCCTCTCTCCCTCTCTACCTCTCCCTTCCTTCTTCTCTCTTTCTCTTGACTCTTGATTGTAAATTTATGCACAACAAATTCTGTTCACCATCTCATAATATGATGTTCTTCTTTGTATTTTTCCATGATTCCCTTAATGCTTGCTGTTACTCGCCTGATCTGTATGGTCTCAAGTGTAACACAGAAATATTCCACACCAAATCGACATCCCACCCCAAACAACTCCATCAAATGTGCATTTTGGGAAGATATATTTCTTGATAGCTACACTGACTGGGCAAAAAGAATGTCCCATCATTTTTTGGACAAAGTTAGTCCTGTAACGCAAGAACCAAACATTTTGAGAACTACAGTCTGGTGTATGAAACATAGCCAAAAAGGTGTAGATTGTGCATACCAAGTCTGGGGATGAACAAGTGAAAAGTCATGATAAGGCAGGGAATTGACTGTGACAAGTGCCAAAAATGGGATGTAACAGAGTGGGAAATTCTGAATGACTGCAACCTACTGAAAGCAATTCACAACTTGAGGAAGAGATATTTTGAACACTGGATCTCCCTGCTATTGTTATAAGCTTCATAAAGTCTCTGGGCTAGAAAATTTTATATCCTCCTCTAAAAGGTAAATTTGAACCTGTTCTCCATTTTATGTATTTTTCACTCAATATATTTGTTGGAATGAGGTAAAATGACTCCCCATCAATGTTTGTAGTGTGTATAATACAAAGGTTGGTAGAAATATTAAAATGAACATTACATGATGTCCATAGAAGCTAATTTCCAGAGTTTTTCTGGAAGTAAACAAGTATCTACAACATTGGTCCTTCTTTTCTGCAAGAAGAAAAAATGCTACCATCCTTTTGAATTGATCCATGGAGACTCAGGATGTCTTTTAAACAATGCCTAAAGTATAGCATGATAGCAAATAAATTTACACTGGGTATAACTTGAAAAGTCCCAAATAAAAGTACATCTTGCATAGAGCAAGAAAGGTGTGGGTCTCAGATCCTTGTATAAATAGGACCTCTGTTTATTTCTTTGGGAT